AATTGTTAATGGATGCAGTGCATACAACCATACAACACATCTAGCATTTTGTATGCCGTCTACTGAAGCGCCTTCAAGAGAGCAGTGAGGGCAGTAGACGCAACCCGCATGACGGCAGACAATATTTTTAACCTAGGCTAGTACAGAATTTCTATCTATCGGTCACGCGCCAGCTTAGCTGACGCTAGCTGTAATTTGGGTTATGCAAAAAACGCTCTGTAGGCCTATAAACGAAATAATTTTAGGTGACAAGGCCCGATTTTTGTCTTTTTCTGATCCCCCTTTTTGACGTTTTTCCTATTGAACCATTCGTCCCTTGAAGTAATTTTCTAAAATGGGATTTCTCTAAACTTTGCAAAACAAAATTTGTTTAAAAATTACAAAAAATAAAAAGCGAGTCAATTCAAAATTCAATCAAAACAACTAATTATTATTTTAATACAGGAGTTGAATTCTCTGTTTTCCAACATAAGCACATAGACCAGATGGTATGTCATTAAAGCTTTCATTTACTGCATAAATAGTCACTTTTGGTCATTCCCAAGTACTTCAAACCATAAATTACTCAGCTAAAAAGTCCTTAAAGATTCCCCCCCCCCTATACCTCTACAGTCGTCATATCTAAGATTCGACCAACAGGTTCCCCTACATCAATGTTTGACGGTTCAATTCACGTCAATTTCCTTCCATAAAACCTCGTCAATTGACAAACCTATATCTTTTGTCGTATAAAAGACTATCGTTTTTGTTGGCGAGTTGGTAATACTGTACGCTATAAATGCGGGTCTTTTAGGCTGAGGGTGCGTTGGGTTGTTGTAGTACCGGGATATAAATGACGTCATATCGATCTGGTAACCCACGAGAGCGCGTGCGCGAACCCCTACCCAGTCAATGGGCTTACTTAGACAATTATTTGGAATTGTGTCTACACGACAAGCCTTTTCGATTGTATTTCTACATTTAAAAAAAATCCGATTAGTTACTTTCAACAAAATGAGTTTCATAAAACTCAAAAATGTTGCTTATATATTGTAAGCAATTTACTTTCTACCATATGGTCACGATAAAAGTATTGGGATTGTAATTTGGATACGCAATGTAAAATCTTGTTTTTAAATCTAGCAATAAAATTGTTGTAGCTAAATTCAAATATTTAACTACGAGTTCATTAAAATTGGTGAAAAATTTATAGAATATAAGCGAATTTTGTTAATTCCTTAATATTATGCTTAGGATGTATTTTTTTTCAAATTGTTCGTAAGAGTACCGTTTGTGTAGCTATTGATCTGGCTATGTAGATATTGATCTTGCTGTTGTGTATTTATTGATCTGGCTATGTAGCTATTGATATGGCTGTGTAGCTATTGATCTGGCTGTGTAGTTATTGATCTAGCTGTGTAGATCTGGCTATGTAGATATTGATCTTGCTGTGTAGTTATTGATCTGGCTATGTAGCTATTGATATGGCTGTGTAGATATTGATCTTGCTGTGTATTTATTGATCTGGCTGTGTAGATATTGATCTTGCTGTGTATTTATTGATCTGGCTGTGTAGATATTGATCTGGCTGTGTCGTTATGAATCTGGCTATGGAGATATTGATCTGGCTGTGTAGCTATTGATCTGGCTGTATAGCTATTGATCTGGCTGTGTCGATATTGTTCTGGCTATGTAGATATTGTTCTGGCTGTGAAGATGTTGATCTGGCTGTGTAGCTATTGATCTTGCTGTGTCAATATTGATCTGGCTGTGTAGATATTGATCTGGCTGTGTCGTTATTAATCTGGCTATGGAGATATTGATCTGGTTGTGTAGTTATTGATCTAGCTGTGTAGATATTGTCTGGCTGTATGGCTATTGTCTGGCTATTTAGGTATTGATCTGGCTGTGTAGCTATTGATCTTGCTGTATAGTTTAGTTATTGATCTGATTTGTCGTTGTTAGTGTGGCTATGATGCCAAGCCATTGATTCAAATATTGATTTGACTGTGCAATTATTTTATGTCCCTGTAGTTATCGACGTACAAATGTAGCCTATCCATATAACCATGTAACCATCTTCTACACTGCCATGTAGCTGTGCAGCTTGTAAGGGTTATCAGCCAAGGATGCGCTCTTCAAGGTCAAGACGACATGTCAAGGCCAATCAGGTTCTCGTAGCAAATTGCACCTCTGTTGCAGTCTACTGACTATTGGATGTGGCGGGATTTCTTTCCCAGCTGAAGATGAAGAACGAATGCTTTTCTTTAGAAGATTGATTTGCAAAACACCTACAACTTTTCAATATTCTTTCAGGATTATTTTTTAGTCTTTTTGTTTGAAAGAGCATGTGTCTAACGGCATACGATTATATGTCAGAATTTGTATTCCGTAGTTAATACTGAATTTAGAATTTTTACTTTGAAATACATGTTTTTGAGCTGAAATGTCCGTGATTGATTTAATATAGTAGGTTAAACCTTTGACTATTAATACAACAACGCAAATCGTTAAAAGTGACTAACCGGTAGGCCTATCTCCTACAATTACTCACTGGGATTAGGCCTACTTATACTAAACTGTTAACTTAAATTATTGGATTTCAAGTTTGATTGTCACAACTAAAACAAAAATGTGAGCCATTTCTACGAAAATACTCAAGAAAATGGAAACTCTACGAGAGTAGGCGAGTTAATTTTGCTGTTAAGAAGTTTATAGACAAGAGATCTTATGATATGTTTATTTTCAACTACTCGGGCTTTAGCTGTTTATAGGGAACCTTTACATGTCAGAAATTAACGTTAACATGTCATTTAATACAGTAAAACTGTTTCAGTTACATTTTATGATTTGGAACGTCTAAGATAAGGAATGAGTCAGAATTTGATCATTGATGTTTGGTGTCGTTTTATCAACAGTCAACAGTTTGTCATTCTTTGTGTTTAATTAAAGTCGGTTCGTCAATCTAAATACAATTGGAACATATCGAAGTAAATGGGAATGAGATATGTTTGTAGTTACCACCAGTAATTAAATAATTATGTGGTCATATGAGATGGATTCATGTCCATATACTTTCAATAACCATTAAAAATATTCTATGATATGTATGGAAGGTATTCTAAAGGGAATTACAGTATTTAGTTTGGTGTAAATGCAGTGTGGCATTGAATGGAAATAAGGGAGGGATGAGGGATGTAAGGTTAAGCTTTTTTTAAGTTTTAATCGAAAAGCATTTAAGAAGTTCAACTATTTTTTTAGTGAACAAATACACATTCACCTAAAATATAACATTGTAGACAGTTTAGAGTTTTTGGACAACCATGTTTTCATGTGAATAAATAGTTCCCTAACCTAAGAGTGTTTGATTTTCTATAACATTCTTTTCATAAGAAATCTAACTTAACAGCCATTGATCCAAATCATGTGTCTGTCACCGTCACCTGACTCGCTACAGCTACAGCTGTTAGGCTGTCTAAATGGCGGGAAGGAAGGGGTAGGGCGCGGCGTCAGCTGACTAAAGTCACATGACCAGATCAGCTGATCGTGAATTCCCTTGACACATATGTTCTGTAACTCCAGAGCTCTTTCCCATGCAGCCCGCCTACGAAACATGAATTATTGAACCATAATTGTGAACTGGTTTGAAATGTACAGGATGTGCCAATTTTAGACATGCAAATAAATTTAATAGAGAGTGTAAGGGTTAAAATACTAACCACTCATCAACTTTTACCTTTAGTTTCAGATAATCAGTTAAAGGAATTATATCTTTTGTTTAGTAAAGTGCATTGACTCATTTTGAAGTCAACATTTTATTTGGAATGTTTTATATAGCTTATAATGTTTATAAACAGAGTTTTCTCAACCTCAACTTGTTGAAGTATTCACTTCCTTTCCAACATGTTTATTAAAGTTTGCTCGGATATATTGTAATTTTTAGAGAAAAAGGTTACAAAAAAGTACAAACTTATTTCCTTGAACATAACTTATCACTGATTGAGATTCATGTGTTCATCTAAAGCTGTTAAGAATATATTGGTCTTACATATCTTTCAAACTTAAAACAATTTAAAATTAACAGTATCAGAAAGCTGACATATACTTTTTACCATTAGCTTGTCAACAACCTTTATTATGAGTAAATGGTGGGACTAACTATGATATCTAAAGGGTAAAATCACAAAAATTGTGACAACTTTTGAACTGTAATTTTTACAGCATTGGGGGATTAACCATCTTGTTTAGAGTTAAAAGGACTATAAAATACTATAATTTAATTAAAATTGGTCAATCTGTTTTTGTGAAAATCCTTCCACTATTTTATGTGGAAATCGCACTTGAAAGTCATAATTTCTAAACAAAAATTAACCCTAGAGATACTATGAATAAGTGCCCACATGCCGAATTTCATCAAAATGGGACTACAGGTGTATAAAATACGTACAAAAATAATTGACAGTATATACCACAAAAAAACTTCCTTTGAAATTATGAAAAACTTTTACACTAAACATATGTTGTACTCATACAACCTCTAGCTCAATTTTATATAAGAAAGATTATTGTTTTAGATAAAACAACAATAAAAACATTTTATACTTCAAGAAAAGTTTAATGGAAAAAGTTTAGGTCAAATTTGCCTTTAGCTGACCAACAATTTACTTTCTGTTCATTCAACCAAGGTTTAGAGGTTTACTTCTTTAAAATAACTTCTTTACTAATTCATTTCATAATAAATAATATTATGAGCAGGATTTCATACTCGAATAAGCTAAATGACCAAATAAACCATTTTATAAAACATTGCGTTTTGGTTTTCTAGATACATTATTATATTTTAAAATAAATTCCCCTTAAAAATATTTTTACTGTAAGTAATTAAGCTCAAGCATAAATCTATGGTTGGTTCCTACATGAAAACAAAATTATTTATCAATGTTATATTGTTGATTTAAAATTCTTCTTACACTTCTCTGAATTAAGCACAATCTAAAGATATAGGAAAAATAATACATCAATTACAAAAACTAAATTACAATTTATTCAGTCTAAAGAAGTAAATATACAAAAGAAATTCAAGACAGAGAGACATATTTTCAATATTTTCATTAATGTTTTTCCAATGCTAAAGTCAGGAGTTGGTTCATATTTGATAGAACAGTTCTTGGGTCCAGGATGAGTCCAGCACCAACCATTGCATTGGAGAACAGCTGGAACAAAACAGCTGATTACATTAACAGCTGACTGTCAGTTGTGCCAACTGTGCAACATTACTGCTTGGTCACACAAGTTGGCTGCCCTATGGTTCTAGATAAGGCAATTAGATTGATAGAATACCTCTTTTAAAATCTTTGTAAAAACCATGTACCGTAGTGTATAAAATAATATCCAGAACAAAATTTGTAAACAAAAGGATTTTTAAAACACCAAGAAATGATAAATCATAGGTTAAACGATGTGTAAATACTATCCATTTGGTATATATTTATCGTAGAAAAGGTAATACAATTACTGACTATTCCGTTTAGAATGATTCGTAGTTAGTAAAGTCATCGACTATTGGATACAGAAGAAGACGTCCCATCTACATGGATCAGCTGTCGCCAGTTTTTTACTAAAAACGAATGTGGTTGTGTGAGCCAGTCACAGATTGCTCTAGTGTCTAAAACCCTATTTTGTACCTTATTTTTAGTTACTGACATAGTTGCTAATAAGTCATTCCATCAGTTTGACTTGGTAAAAACCATCGTGTAATTGGCAGAAATCAGTAATTTATATCAGCGCAATCTGTAGGTGGCTCACATCAACTAAGACAAATTGGATTAAAAAGCTGGCGACAAAATATTGTTTAATCAATTCAACCAACATTTTTACTATTTGGCTTAGCTTTACTATGGATCAGCATACTTTTCTTTTACATTAGTTATTTTCAAATTAATTTGAAAGCCAAACTATTAAAAAAAATAAATGAAATAAGCTCGGTAAAAACTTTTTAAATTGGGAATTTATAAACTACACAATCATGTGTAAATGTGCTCTCAAACTTGAGGCTATATGAGCCAGAGACGGTGTTGGTTACATAAGCCACATCTGAAGCCGTAAAGTGGCGTTATCTTTACGTTAGAGCATCTCTGTATAATACCCACTTGACTTTGTCCGGTAACCGGCAATATTAACATGTATCTCTCGTAATAAGTAATAAATATACTTGTTAATAGCTAAATGATTATATGCTACTATGGTCTCTGAATTACTGTAGAACAGTGGTTTGTTCGGAAGAATAACGAGTAAAATAGGTTGTCATTTTGTGTATACCTTATAATCTATGACTACATGAGTTTATATACTCTGTAGTCAGTCTAGTTACATAATATGTTTACATAATATTTGAAAGGTTAAAGTGTATTGTTTTGGGTTCATTTTAGCGAATTTCCCATATAGGGAATAAGCTATTACCGTAGTACTCACGGTAAGACCTGGACCCGGGACCGATTTTTTTTTTCGTTTTGAGGTCCCTAGAGGTCAAAAACACCATGCGTTCAAATTCATATATATATATATATATATATATATATATATATATATATATTTTTATATCTAATATATAAAATTCTCGTGTCACAGTGTTTGTCTGCAAACTCCTCCGGAACGACTTCACCGATCGTTATGAAATTTGGTGTGTAAATTCTGTAGGTATGCGAATCGGACGTAAACTATTTCCCGTTTCGAAATTCTTAAAAGGGCTCCGCCCCAGTGGCTCTGGAGTTTCCCATGTTAACCTTATGAGAAATGGAATTAATGAATCTTAACAGCTGTTTCAATTAAACAAGTTGGTTCTGTTCTGTGATGTTCAATAGCATTAAAGTTACAAGGATTACCAACAGGGTGCAGCACTATTATTTCTTTTACATTTATGACAACAGCTAATTTGCAACCAAAAGGTGAGTGAGCGTAGCGAACGAACTTCAACCTGGAGGCGAGTTAGCGTAGCGAACGAGCTAACCTGAAGGCAAGTGAGCGCAGCGAACGAGCTCCAACCTAAAGGTGAGTGAGCGTAGCGAACGAGCTCCAACCCAAAGGTGAGTGAGCGTAGCGAACGAACTTCAACCTGGAGGCGAGTTAGCGTAGCGAACGAGCTCCAACCTAAAGGTGAGTGAGCGCAGCGAACGAGCTCCAACCTAAAGGTGAGTGAGCGTAGCGAACGAGCTTCAACCCAAAGGTGAGTGAGCGTAGCGAACGAACTTCAACCAGGACGTGATTGAGCGATGCGAACGAGATCATCTTGAAAATTAAACGTAACGGTACTTTCTTTCCATCGGTCTGTCTTAGGGGAAACCTATAACTTAGGCGATACGAAGTTCGCCGGGTCAGCTAGTATATATATATATATATGTGTCCGTTAGCGCGATAACTCGAGCAAAAATGATCCGATTTTGATGAAATTTGGTACAAACGTGTAAACCTACGTTTATTCGAACGAGTTCGCGAACCAGCATGATCGGACCATGGGAACGGGGGTTTATGGGGGCTGTTATGGGGTAAAAATGGGTTTTTCCCATTTTTGACCCAAAAAACATAAAATTTTGCAATTTCTTTCGAAACTATTTTGTAGAGCTTAAAAAAACAAATAATTTAGTATATTGAAGCGTTATAATGCGCCTAATGGTTACGGAGAAAATTCCAAAAAATTGTAAATTTAAAATTCCCATGTTATTCTTATGGAGAATAAGTAAACTGTTGTAGTTTGCTTGTTTATAAACATATTTTGCCCAAATTTGGAAAATGTTTTTATTTCTTACTAACTATTAACATTTTACATAAAAAACACTTTTACCCTCCCTGTTGCAGCAAACCTAAGTATGTTTTAAACTGATTCTATTTAAATAGGGAATAAATGTGATAATTTTAAGGAGACATTTTAGTGTAAATCCATTCAGGGAAATGGAAATTCGCTTAGTCTGCAGGTTTGCTGCGGCGGGGGTATTTCCTTGTAAAAAAGTTTTGAACCCTACTAAAATATACAGTTTGCACACAGTTCCCTTGTCTATAATATACAGTGTCAGTAAGTAAAACTGAATTTTACTGAATATACAGAAGGGGAAATAACTATAACTATCTTTAGATGCAAACGCTTTCAAAAAGCTTTCATCCGGTTTTAAGGACTTATCAATATCAAAACAAATGGGTCATTATATTTTTTTACGAGATGTTATATAAGACTGAATTTGACTGAAAATACAGAATTATGGGCAATAATTATCCTTGAATGTACAGTTAAGTTAAATTTTCAAAACCATTTTTAAGTACTTCTTGTATCAATACACCTTGTTCTAATCAAAGATTACTTCTAGGTATTATTTGGATCTACATTGTACATGCATAAAGATCTCGCCTCATATTCTATTCCAATAAGTTAACAACACAAAAGATTTAACAGTGTCAGATTTCTAGATCATAACAAACACATTGATGAACACGACCAAGCAACGTCAGAAACAGGTTTAGTACTCCGTACTTGCGTTGGTTTATTTATTTGCATCACCTGTGATAACGTAATTCAGATAACAATTCTGAACAATTAGCATTCTAAAATGTTCTTAATATTGACCTAGTTTTACAGTATGGGGGAAAGAAACTATCACTATTATTATTTATTAAGTACTGTATTCATGTTGTTTTTTTTAAGATATGTGTAATTTTTATAAAATATAGACTGTATTTGGAACTTAGGATGATTTTACCTGCAAAAGCAAAATATTAACAATGTATTAAAAAATAATTAAAATTAGTAACACAATTAAATGACTTTGGAGTTGAACAGTAGTATGTTTAATTTGACAAAAATAATTATGTATGGATTGTTCACTTGTGTTTGCTTAAAAATAAATGCTCATACTTTCTATCAAACTATGGAAAAATTAGAATGTTGAAAATTAATATTTCCTTTTTTGATTAACCTCACATTAAAATAACGTATTTTTCAAGTAAAGTATGGATAATATTTAAATTCAAGGGAAATTACTAGAACGGTTACAAAAAAATTAAGTTATAATGAAACACAGATTTTTTTATTTTTTTATGAAAAAAAGTTGTAGAGGTTATAATAGATAACTACTTAAATTTTTCTAAACATTACAAATATTTTGTCTGTAAACTATAAAAACAAGAAGTGTAGGCCAGCCAACATGGAGACAAGATCATAAATGAACATGTCACAGATATTAACCCTGAAATAAATTATAGTTAAATTAAAATTCTTTTTAAGTTTTGCGAAAAGTTTAAGTGGTTGTTGTTGTTAGTTTCCACGTTCATAACAACAATGTATAATCTCAAGCACAACATTTCAGGTTGCCACGGATATCATTTATGGCAACTTTTAATTCCCCGTGAAACTTGGAATGCTTTTTCAGAACTGAAACAATTAAATGTATTACATCTACAGAATTTTAAACTTAAGTTATATAAACCAAAAATGTGTTTGTCGTGAAAAAACTGAACAATAGTAAGGCTTTCTATACTTTAAAGAATAAAATTTTCTGATTTTTATACAGTTTTATCAAATAGGCCTATTATTTGAATACTTTTGAACTTTTCAATAACATTCTGGGTGAATTGGAAGGTGTTCTAAGCCTTATAAACATAACAATTGTCTAGGTAGGTTATAGTGTTTGTCTTCAAATCTGAAGGTCGCTGGTTCGATTCTACGCAAGATCGTTCCCACAGCCATTTATCATTGGATCAATTGACAATGCTAACAAAAGGTTACATTAGATAGTAACAAGACCGTTTGGACAATTCCCTTACAAAAAATTTTTAAAATTGCCAAAAGCGTAGATATACACGAAATGAAAAAAATCAGCCAATTTCCGCAGGCCGAGCCGAGTACATTGTGCAGCCGACACGGACGTGTTAATTGCTCCGAGTTGGTGAGATAGTGTTAATTTACGACACCTTGCCTCGTCACGACGTCACTCCTCACATGACGGCTGGTTATCTGTGCTATGCTCTATAAACCTACTTCACTGGATATTTAAACAGTTGGACTACAACAGATTCACAGTACTTCGCTGGTTGCAGTACTCTTTTGAATAATTTTTACAGCATTACTGTACGGTAGTGAATTTGTTGTCATACTGCAGCAAAAACAGCTGTGTTACATGGTTGCAGGTCTAAAGTTATTTTACTCCCTAGGGATTAAAAGACTGCTGTTTTAAACTCAAACTCAGTTGTAAACTTTGATTTAAAGCAAGTCAATTGCATGTATCGATTGATTTAATCGGTTGTGGCTTATTGTTTCATTCCTGTTAATAGTCAAAATGATTGAATCACTCACTAAACAGCTACTTGTTAGCATTAAAAAAATTTAAAAAAGTCGGTTTAAGGTCTTAGCTTTACATGAAAATTATTATTTTTTTTACTTTGTTTGCTCAAATTAATGTGCAATATGACAAAAAATATAGTTCATCACTTGGGAAAAAAGTGCCTTTTCAACCGTCACTCATTTTCCCACCTTGGATTCACCTTGATCGTAAAACTTGAGCTCGGGTCGAAAAGAGTCACTTTACGCCCTAGTGATGAAATATACAATTGCCACACACCAGCTGATCATTATGTTTAGTTGTTTGCAAACAGGTCAAGATATCTTAATCCTTCCCAAAAGGGTTAAGTTCTGACGATAAAAGAGTATATTGTTAAAATTGAGTTTTCACATTTAATAGGTGTGTTTGTACAAAACTTTCAGCCTGAATGAAATAAGTTTGACAAAAGCTAGGCTGAGAAACATCACATTTATCAAAGGCAATTTGCTGAATGAAATATTTAATCTACAGAAAATAAAAATTCATTATCAAAACTATTGTTGAAAAAGTTGTTATTTTCACATTACCTGTTTTGTGACTAATTCAGCGAGTTCTGGGTTTGTAGTTGACAAAACACTCAGCTTCTTGATTACTGGATGTCTGAAAATAATAAAATCAATATTAATTTTGAAACAAATATTTTAACTCTATGGGGTTTCCTAGTGAAATCTCAAACAGTTGGGTCATTAATATTCATAGAATTGATGAAACTAATTGAATTTTATAAAATAATAAAAAAAAAAAATAAAATGCTATAAAATATGAGTAGGCCTTTTTTAATTAAAAAAATCTTTACCCTGGTTAATTCAATTATTATAAGGGTTTGTTGGGAATTCCTTATATTGAAATTGTTGACAAGTGAAGTACTGTATATATAAAAAAAATATAATTTACAATTTCAAAATATTCGTTTAACTTCCTTGTATTTAGACAATTGGTATCACTAATCAAGTCAGATTCAGTATTTTGATAACAAGTTTGTATGAAAAGGTCAAGATCTAGGTTAGTGATAGCAACTACTAGTGGATTTTATAGCAAGTCATTGTCTCTAAATTAAACACACACTATTAATAATAACAATTTTAAAATTCTTAGAGCTGCTTAAGTAAAATTTACATGTAAATGTTTAACTAGAAATAAATAATATGCTTCAGACCAGATTAAATTATTTTTCTGTGACTTAATTTCTTATCACATGGCAATTACTTGGCAAGAGTTTCTTTTCCCTAATATTGTTTTCAGCTGCTTTGACAAGCTCGTTTTACAGGAGTATCAGCCAAGCCTAGAGTTTAAAATAGACCTTAAACCATGGACACTCTCGTACAAAAATGAAATACCTTGGGTTGATCTCGAGTCTCGGCTGAAGCAGGGAATATCTCATCTCCTCCTCCATCTGGTGTGCTTGAGTCTTGAGGAAATGTCTCGCAGCAGCCATCTCCTCTACAGTCACCACACAGGGGTGGGACTCTAGCCTCTTGTTGACCTACACAAGACATTACTTTGTAGTACCTGGGGAACGAACATAGCTCGGGAAAAATCATTAGTTTACTCTGAAAGCAGTCTTAGTATTGCAGATACATTAATCCATTCCCACACTCCACACTGCTCGCCTTTGATACTTCCTTCACCACTCCCTACGTCGTGGACCTGTTTCCCTCCCTTCCCATAGCATTTTCAATGCCCGAGATAATGAAACCTTCATTAGAAAATGCAGTCAAGGAAGCTGACAAACACTGTGCCAAATGTGAAGAGGAGATTTTCTATCATAATCCAGAGATTGAAAACTTGGATGATGTTCTAGAAACTAGTATTATTGAAATTTCTGAGAAAAACAACCAGCTAAAATTTGAGAAAGTTAGGGCTGAAACTTCTCTGCGAGTTGCTGAACAAGAAAATGGAGAACTAATCGATGAAATTTGCAAACTTAAGAAGAAAAATGAAAACTTAAAGAATGAAATAGACATGAGAGACAAACTGATTAGGGAGCTGAAGACTAAATTAGAGGATAATAAAGAAGATTTATGTTATCTGACCCCCAAAACACTTATCAATACGGGAACTCAAACAAAAAATGAAAAAGATGCAAGCTCTTTCTCTAACTTGTTGAAAGAAGAATGCTTTGTAAAAATACAAAAGCTTGAAGACCAACTAAGCGAAAAGGAAATTTCGATTATACAGCGTAATGAAGTCATTCAAGAATTAAAATCGACAATCTCAGCCAAAGAAGGTTATTTGACCCCGAGAAACAAGACAAAGTATTCACCCAACAAATTCAACTCAGCTTTTTCTTTGCCCACTGAAAATAGATTTGATTTGTTATCTGATAGCTCTGATGATGAAATCGAAATACTGAACCAGAAACATGTTTCTCCTGCTGCTAATTTAAACTCCAAGACAAAGACAAAAACATTAAAAAAAGCCAAAAAGAAGTCAATATTGAATATTGTGACAACTCAAAATGAATCAGCTAAAAACAAACCTCAGTTACTTGTGGTATCTGATAGCCATGGGAGAAATATTTCCCACATGATGGAAAATAAACTTGGGAAAGAATACAATGTATCTGTTGTGGCTGCTTCAGGAGGCAACTTCAGTTATGTAGCTAAGAATTTGAGTCAACTTACAAGAAACTTTTCAAAGAAGGACCACGCTGTATTTATTGCAGGCTGTAATGATTCTGAACAGCAAGCTCATCCAGTGAACATAGTAAACAGTTTTAGTCTGAAAAATCTTATCAATGTTTCCTCAAGGACAAACCTGCATGTTGTCAGTATCCCACATAGGTTTGATTGCAACAGATTGAATACAAAAATTGACATCATGAACAAAAACATAAAAAAATTGCTTGGAAATACAGATCTCTCCTACATTGACATAACTCAATTGCATAGAAGTTGCTTCACAAGTCATGGACTTCATCTCAACTATGGAGGTAAAAAAAAACTTGTTGAATCAATTGTAAACAGCGTTCAGGCTAACATCAAGATGCAAAGTACGGCTGTTGCTGTTGAGGAGAGTGTGTCAGCGAGACCTGCGAGGTCAACACCTGCTGCAATGTCGCTGAAGGAATTCCCACCACTTCCCTCATAATCCAGTAACGGACTCGAGCCAACCTCTCTGGCTGAAGAGCTAGAGCATGCTAATAACATTGCTCTGGTTGAGGCAGATATGAGGGAGTACCTTGAGAAATGTAGAAATGACCAAGAAACTGCGTTCGCTCACACAATATCAAGAGATCTACATCATGACAGGAATATGACAGCGGGTGTGGCTGTTGCTTTTCGTAAGGAATTTGGCAGACCTCAGCCCTCCAGCTGCCTTAGTGACTTTTTGGCTTGCCAGGCAAATAAGAATGAGGCAACAGTTTTTAGTCTCATGACCAAGCCAACATATGATAGCAAGCCCTCTGTGGCTGATTATGACCAAGCTTTTGAAGAACTTGAAACAGCTTTCAAAGAGAGAAAACTTCGCAGACTTATTTGCTCCCCAATGGGCTGCGTGCGAGATCTCATTGATCCTCTACATTTTGCGACTAAAATAGTTGGTTTTCAAAAGAACACAAATGCAAAAATACTAATTGTAACCAATGATCAAAGGACAAGCAGAAGACCTCTATGGAAAGGACTGACTCATACAGAGTTTGTTGATAAATTACAACTAGCAATCAACAGATGTCGATCTTCAGAGAATAGACAGCAGATCTCCGGAGGGGGTATCAGGATGGGTTCTCCTTGGGGCGCGCCACATTCACCTCCAGTAATCCCTGTCTGCAGTTCACCTGTTGAGCAGAACCATCAGCAATCTGGTGGATACACAGCCCGTGTTGGTCTCCCTACAGTGGATCTGCAGTCTTCAACAAGCCTGTTTTCCAATGACACATCACATCACCAAAAAAACTCCCCTGTGAAGCCACAGGTACCAATTACATAAATTTTAAGAACTTTTGCGTAATGTGTAATTCAAATCATGGTTCTTTTTTAAATAATAATAGCAGAAAACCCAAAAAGAAATCTTTTGTATGGCCTATCTGTGAGGAGGCTAGGTTAAGTAAAAAATATGCATGGTTAATGCACTTGAATATACAAGGAGGAATTACAGATAAAAAAAATGAATTGGACCTACTTTTGCTTGAGTCTAATATATCTGTGCTTAGCTTAAATGAACATTGGCTTAAAAAAGATCAAATTAATATTTTAAACGGTATAAAAAATTACACAGTTGCTGCTCATTTTTGTAGAGAAAATACAGCTCATGGAGGCTCATGTATATTAATAAAAAATAATTTGATTTTCTTTGAAAGAAAAGATCTTTGTATTATATTCAGTGATGAGTTAGTTTTTGAAATGTGCTGTATTGAGATAGTTTGTTTCAATGCAATTATTATTTCCATTTATAGAATTCCATGTATTTCAAATTTTAGAACTTTTTTAAATAAATTAGAAAATGTGTTTATTTTACTGCAGAAAGAGCTAGGTTTTAAGGATGTTTATATTGTAGGTGACTTTAATATTGACATTTTAGATACATGTACTTTTCCACAACAGAGATTGGATTTTTTGAATTTGTTAGATATTTTTGGTCTAGGTATAAATATAGAATCACCAACAAGAATTACGCCGAACAAAATTTCATGCATAGATAATATCATAACATTCAAAATTAAGCCAATTGATACAAAAATCTGTATGAATATTGAAACTGGTCTTTCTGACCACAGGTCTATTTTTATTTCTTTACAGGGAAATGATGAGGATAGACAAAAATTACACACTTCTTTTAAGCAAAGAATTTTTTCTGAAAGAAATATTAATAACTTTATAAACTCTATCAGCAAAATGAAATGGAATACTACAAAAAATAACAACCTTTTTCTAAACAGTAATAATTTTTTTGGTTCTTTTCAAAGAATTTTTGAGGAATCTTTCCCTTTCAAACCTGTTAAAATTAAAAAGAAAACAGTAAATAAAAAATGGGTAACACAAGGTATTCAAATTTCTAGTCAAAAGAAAAGAATGTTAAGCAACTTAGCAAAGAGTTCTACTGATGTTAACTTTATTGGCTATGTAAAAATGTACAAAAAAGTTTTTAAATCTGTTTGTAACCTAGCAAAGAAAATGTATAATTGTAGTTATATAAATAAGGCTAGTAATAAGACTAAAGCAGCATGGGTTGTGGTTAAAGCCGAACTTGGTTACAAGCCAATCAATAATTCTTTTCCTGATTTAGTTATTGATAGCAAGTTAGTCTCAGATGGCACAGTTATTGCAAGTCACTTTAATTCTAAATTTATTGAAGTAGGGAAGGTTTTAGGGGTAAATTTTTCTAAGAGTAAGGCAATGGAACTAGTAAAAAAATCAATCACACATAGGCCTGATATTCCAATTTTTAACTTTAGTTTAGTTACACCTCAGCAAGTTATCAAAATAGTCAAGTCACTAAGTGATAAAAAAACGGCTGGTTGGGATGGGATTTCAACTACTATGTTAAAAAAAGTAATTAAGTTTGTTGCTGAGCCATTGTCCATAATCATCAATCAGACTTTAACCAATAGCACTTTCCCTAATCATTTGAAGTATGCAGAGGTGAAGCCATTATTTAAAAAAGGTTCTAAGAGTAATTCAGATAACTACCGACCTGTTTCTGTCCTGCCTTCTTTTTCAAAGATATTTGAAAAAATTTCATTCAATCAAATGTCCTATTTTTTGGAATCTAATAACTTATTAGCTGATGAACAGTTTGGTTTTAGGAAAAATCGAAGTATTACTTCCACTGTGGCTCATTTTGTAAATTCAATAACACAGAGCTTGGATGGGTCACAGAGCACTATTGGCGTGTTCTGTGATCTATCCAAAGCCTTTGATAGTGTACACCATCAAATTCTTCTTGATAAACTATCCTCCTATAGATTCTCAGAATCAGTTATTTTGTGGTTGAAATCATATTTAAACGATCGCTTTCAAAGAACAGTTATTATTAAAGAAAACATTAAGTATGCTTCTGAATGGGAAAAGATTGTTATGGGGGTGCCTCAGGGCTCTATATTAGGACCGTTATTGTTTTTGATGTACATAAATGATCTACCTAAGAATGTTAAACCTAGTTTGTTGTTATATGCTGACGATACGACAGCCATCATTAAATCAAAAGACAGTCATGAACTAAGTTTAGCCTTGAATCAAGCTCTTCAAGATCTGTCAAAATGGTTTAAAGTAAACGGTTTAAAAATGAACCACATTAAAACACAAATAGTAAAATTTCAAACTGCACAGTGTAGGGACGATCTTGAAGGCTTTGTTTATTTTGATGATGAAAAAATAAATCTTAGCAACGCAGCTAAATTTTTAGGAATTGATGTAGATAGTTTATTGAATTGGAAGAATCACATTCATAACACCTCTAAAAAGTTAAATTCAGTATGTTTTCAAATGTTGGTCTTAAGAAATGTTGTTGATTTAAACACTAGACTAATGATTTATCACGCTTTATTTTCGTCAATTTTACAGTATGGAATAGAGCTTTGGGGCGTCACATCTGATTCGTATCAACTTTTTAAACTTCAAAAAAGAATACTTAGAATTATGACTTTTAAACCCGTAAAACATTCTTGCAAACAACTTTTTAAAGAACTAAAGATTCTAACCGTCCCTAATTTGTATATTCTTAAATGTTTATTGTATGTGAAATCAAATTTTGAAAAACTCCACAGTGAAAATAATCGACACAATTATAACACTAGATTTCATACAGATTTTCAATATCCTATACACAGATTAAATCTTGTGGAAAGGACACCTTCTTATATGGGTAAAAGATTTTTTAACAATTTGCCTGGGTACTACAAATCTATAATAGGATTAAAATCTTTTAAAGAAAAAATTTTTGAATTTTTATTGGAAAAGAATTATTATAGTATTGGTCAGTTTCTTGAAGATAAATCAATGTGAATTGTTTGTTTTGTTACCTACTATGTATTTATTTTTACCAATGTAAGCTAGTTTATTTTAGTATAGTTTGACAATGTCACCTGTTTTGTCTGGCTGTGCCAGAGAAAAAAAAAAACGTTTTGTGACAATAAAGATGACTTTGACTTTGACTTTTAAGATTGCACATACATTAATGTAATTGCCACAGACAGTTCCCACACTCTGCACTGCTAGCCTTTCTACTTCCTTCACCACTTCCTACGTCATGGACTTGTTTCCCTCCCTTCCCATAGCATTTTAGGATTGCAGGTACCTTAATCTAATCGGGTACACTTTACAAGTTAAAATAAGTTTATAAGTTTCAATATAGTATTTCATGGCTTACCTTTACGCCAAAGACTCTAGATTTCAGAGTAGTTTCAATCCACTTGACTAGATTGTCGATTTCACTTCGAGAAAGGCTGTCTGCACCTGTGAACAGACGTTCAGCTGAATTAATTATTCCTATCTCAATCTACAAAACCTTTAAAAATGCCAATACATTTCCATTTCAGAGAGAAAGGAAACAATTTGCTCGCTGGAGCAAACATAGGGGCAGGTAGTGAACATACTATGATTGAAAAAAGTGAGCATTATCGGCAATCAGAGCAGCATCGCAATTATCTCCTACAATTATGATTTTCTTACTTGACAGTGAAAAGGGAACAAACATAACACCATTAATGATCAATTACTACAGGCCAATGTCAATCATTCCAAATTTTCCCAGTCCCATTCAAAATTCACGATCAATTCAAACTTTTTGTCATTCAGCAAAATTCTAGTGCAATTCCTGGATTCCTCGGTTGTCGGCAAGCTGGAAACTTTTGGAAAAGGTAAGAACTTGACGAACTCAACTTATTGCAAAGACAAATTCAACCGTTACCTACCGAGGTCTGTAAGGTCCTCGGCTTCTTTGTCTTGCCTCATCTCCTTCTCTACGGAGGTGAGTTGGAACTTGTCGAAGGATCTGAGCTGCATCAGCACCAACTCGTCGTGGCCCTCGTAGCAAAACAACACCTCCACGTCCTTCCTACGCAGAGCCTCCAGGTACGGAGAACTCTCGGCCAGTGTGCGGCTGTTAACAATAGCTGAGGTGATAACAGACTTGGCCAGCAAAATGATTTTATCATAGGATTTATAATGTGTGTTTTGCGTTTAATAATTAATGTTGTATTATCTTGATTTAGTAAAAAGAAAGTTAAGGTAGGGATAAACAACTAACTTACCCAAAGAGTTCCAAACTGTTAAAGGCACACAGAAAGTTGAAAGCACGTTAATTTGAGATCTTTCCTCTCCACAAGTTATGTACTTCTGTCGTGACTTTCTGTATGCATTCAACTGCATGGAACTATTTTCTTGGATAAGTTAGTCATTTACTGCTCATTCCATGTATTTCTAAGCAAAGTGCTTTTTCTCCAAAAAACATAAAAGTCAGTGTTGGGATCTGATCTTGTTCTCAGGTAAAAAAGTACCTAAAACATAATAAAATAATAAAAAAAAACAACAACAAACAGTACAAATCTAATAAGATAAGTGTAGCGAAAGTAACTTATCTTCACCAAAAATTAATTTCAAACAAAGAACTGAACATGACTGGTTGACTACATATCTATCAACTTTTGAAAAGGGGAAACAGATAAATATTTTACCTTAGAAAAGTCCAGGTAGGCCATAATAAACATAGATGACAAAATATTTCATCCCCTGGGGGACTTTGACAAGGGTACATGGATTATAGTCTACCTGGAAATTTTCTACAGTAAGTTGGTAGATAGTTGCTATCCTCGTTTCTCTAAAAATCACAATCCTAGCCCTGAGCCTTTCCTTAAAGAAACCAACCAATCGTTTCAGATGGTGACACACTTTGGATGTGTATTCTAAGCTGAACACGATTACAGTAATTGCAAAATGAGCGTAGGATGGAAGTAGTATGCAATTCAGAAATTTGGGTTGAAATATAAGTTCAGCTGTACTTTCTGATTACAGTACATGCTTTCTAATCCGACACGTTCTGAACTTTGGTGGTGCCGAATTGATAATGCTGGATTACTAAACTTCTTTTAAAAAAATATCCGTTATTGCCGCTTCAGACAAGTGAAAATCACTCTCGACGTATGCTTAAAGCTTTCAACCTCCGATCGCTTTTAATTCTGCCGATTGCTCCCAACTCACTTGAATACTCTTTAAAACAGCATAAGCAAATTTATAGATGTTTAGACCGATAGTATAGTTCTTTGTTCTTCGGATTAACGACCCTTTACTGTACTGTACTAGGCGAGTACCTGGGAGCGCAGAGGTAGTAGATATCCCTCTGTGAGGTCTTGAGTCTGCTGCAGTACTCTGGTAGGCTAGTCACAGTACCAGCTGGTTGGCTGGACGACTCAAACCTCAAGAGCTTGGCGATCTCTTCCTGTAACGGTCAAAAGCACTCGTTAATTAATCCGACATTGGGTAGGAGTTAACAATCCCATTGTGGTCCATCACAGCCTCCCCGTCTCCCTACTCTTTATCTGAGCTGGGGTTGTCGTGTTACATGTTTCTTCAGCTTCCAAACATATGGATCATCATTACTCGATTTTCTGGCTCCATTTATCTAGTTATGGGATAGTTTCAAAATTACTTAATAATTTAAGTATTTGGAAGTGATCACAAATAGCCTGAATAAAATAGAAGAAAAGATACAAATTATGTTAAATTTTACTAATAGGTGTTACTGGAGTTTATCTAAAACTAGTGGCTTTTAGGGACATAATTCCCTAAAAAGCTCAAATGTACAACAGATTATTGTAATATTTAAACAAATTCAGAATCAAATTATCTATGTGAGGTTGATGTTATTTTCAATAAATAATTTAAATTACTCCAGAGGTTTAACTCTGCCAAAGGCAGCAAACATGTTTGTGAATAAATATTGGTTTACTAAGGTAGCTTTGGTCTTTTGGTTGATGATAATAAAAAGGCTCCCCTGATTGAAATATTGGAAATCGTCTTCGTCAAATATAAAAAGCAAATAAAGGTGTGTTGAGATAAGCTTAGTTCTTGGTCAAAACCGCTAAATTAGCACCCCAACGAAGTTATTTCTAAGTTTATGCTCCTTTTGTAAAGGTTTAACAAAATTAGTGTAAAGTAAAAGCATCCCATTGACCAAACGTATCGCTATATTTTCTTTCTGATCAACATAAAAACTACTATTAGCCTAGTGTGAGAATATGCGGAGAACAGTAACAAAAATAGATCCAGAAAACGTTAATATCGCTTAAAAATAAAATATTGAGAATGATATATGGATCAAAATTAGAAGGAGAGGTTCGGAGAATACTGCAAAATAGGCTCAGGAACCTATACATAATACTAGATACTGTGGCAATGATAAGAATTAGGAGAATTAGGTGGCTGGTCATATGAGAAGAATGCAACAATACAAAGTGTGTGAAGAGGTCGACCGGAAGGAAGGAGCCAATTAGGAAGACCAAGATTAAGACGGAGCGACAAAGTGGCTGTAGAAATAAGACTGCAGAGTCTAACTGCACATATTAGCAAGAAAATCACGCAGAAGTAAAGATAAAATTACCTTCTCAAGCTGGTCAGTGCTAGTCGCGATTCCTTCTTTCAGGAAAATGCTGTAGTCCTTGTAAAACTTGTCGAAACTTTCCTTCTCTTTGGTGGATTTGTCGTGCAAGAAGCGAAGAACTCTGTTGGTGATCACTGTGCGTAGTTTCCTAAAACCGCATTATGTATTTTAAAAAAACCTAAGGTAAAGTTATTTATTAATTTAATTCAAATTAATTGAGCTAAATACTTTTTCTTCACAGGCGTTTTTGGTGTATTATTGGTTTACCTCTTGTATGTCAATCAAAGCACAGGTTCCAAATAATTTTTTTTTGTGCTAGGACGCTAGGCACGAGCCTGGGATTGTTTTTCACATTACTTCAGGCTACACCTAGGGGTTGCGACATTATCACTTAGATCAAATCCATTGGTGACTTGGCGGGGATCGAACCCGGGACCTCAAGGACTGAAGTCTCGCGCTCTAACCACTACACCAGCTCGCTCCCAAGGTTCCAAATAATGACATCCTCTAAATTACAAAACTGCGGTCAAAGTCTGCCTTACTATTTATTGGCCAAGTTAAATTTTTAAACTGACTTACCTAATAAGAGGTGAGTTCTGCAACAACTCTCTACTGAGGTTGAGGGGAATATCTTCAGAATCTACCACACCTGTCAAATTAAACAGAGGTTAACATGGTTATAGGCAATTACATCTATATCAAAACATTACTATTCATTATTTATTTATTATTTTATTTATTTATTTATCTTGCCTACATGAATAGTGCCGACTTCAAAGCTACGAGATTGAAACTTGACTTGATTTTAGATCGTTGTCACACAAAAACCATTTTCCATTTTCAACCTCAGCAAAATTTGCAATTTTCCCACTGTGGTGTTGTAATACGAAATAACATTGTTATTGACTAGCTTAGGTATGGAGATATACACCATTTCTAAATGTTTTAGAGACCTAAAATTTGGTAAAAATGTTGTACGCTAATAATTTCCACTAGCGTCATTTTCTAGTTTATACCCTCAAAAATTCAAAATAGACAACATACGAAAACACCTTCTTACTCTTTTTTTCTAAAAGCCCTGGCAGGCAATTTGTTAGTCCTATGTTTCGGCGCCTCCCAGCCAACGGTGAGTGACTATATTTATAATATTCACAGTCATACCACTAAACTTTTACATGACATGTCACATATAGTTTTATAGAGGACAGTTGGTAAACATGCTTATAAGCTTTTATTAAGTAAAGCTTTTAGACATTTCTAGAATGAAGGGATATAACTAGCTTACCTTACAAGTATAGGTAGGCCATAGACACACAGAAGACACTAACAAACAATATTTTGTCCCTTGGAAGACTTTTTTACGTGAATACAAAGATAGTCCACAAAATGGATTTTGCTAACTCTATATCAAAAACTCTCATTGTCTATACTTAAATAACTCCTGAATGGGACAAAATATTGTGTGTTTTATGTGACTTGTGTGTGATGAACAAAATGATCATTTTTGAAAACAACATTTTAAGAATGTTATATGGCCCAACACAAGAAAATGGAGAATGGAGAAAAAGGCATAATAGGGAGATAAGGAATATGTATAATGATTATGATGTAGTAGCACACGTGAAAGCAAGGAGAATAAGGTGAGCAGGACACATACTACGGATAGAACGGGGTTCACTATTAAAAGAAGCAAGCAGTGTTGGGGAAGCTACTTTTAAAATGTAGCTAGCTACAACTACTGCTACATTTCCAAAAAAGTAGCTTAGCTACAGCTACAGCTACAGTTCCGAAAAAGTAGCTAGCTACAACTACTACTACAATGAAATGTAGCTACAGCTACAATTTTAGCTACTTTTCCAAAGACGTTAATTTTTATTCCACGCACATTAGGTAAATGTAAAATTAATTGCAACTACATTTTTATTGAACAAACATTTAAAAAAATGTCAGTATTGTATCTAACATTACTTGGAAAACAAATTATTCCTAGATTGTATTTAATTTGTTGGCATTATAAACCTAACATTACAACAACAGAACCAAATAGTTGGGTGTCCCATCATATTTAGTAATTATTTTTAAATATTGCATTATTTTTAAGCATCTTAAAATGTAATTTTCATTAAGTTCAAAGGACATACAACCAAACTATATTTTAAAAGCTAATTTTATTAATTTAATATAGATTCATTTATAGATGTTTTATATCAACAATTAGGCCTAAGACCAATAAAACTGCAAAAAGATTATTTAAAAATACTTTTTGTGTTACAGAGCCTAGCCTACTGAAATTGGAGTTTATTGCCTTTCTTTACTTTTAATGTTAAAAACAACATTGCTATAACTTTTAAAGTGATAAATTACTTATTCTACGAATAACACTTTTCAATGTCAAGAAATCGTCCTTTATTGTCATTATTCATAGGGAAAATTATGCTTCAACCTAGAGAAAACAGTAGAGTAAACAGTATTCAGCAACTTATCCTGAAATCGGCTTTTAATTTAAACATGATGAAATTTGTAAAGTAAAAATAACATGTAGGCCTATGTAACTTGGCTATGTAACAAGTTGGCTATAGTAGGCTTGTTCTTGCAAGGACTAAACAGATATAGGCCTATTCATAATAATTGAACTTGGTATTCGTCTTAAACCATAGCCTCAGTCCTATACAAGAGCTGTTAGCAGGAGCAAACTATGCTATTTTTTCAATGTAAGTTTCATGTTATATGGAGATTTTTCATTACAATTATCATGTAGTCTAGGCATATCTTAAATCTCATCAGGTAATTTCCTCTTTGCTAATTTAGTAAACCTTTGAAAAATCTTCGTAATCTAACCAAAGGGCTTGTGATGATAAACCACAATCAACAGCTGAAGCAAAGGTTGATAGACCAGCTTTCTCATTATTTCAAGGTGTGTTGGTTTCCATTAAACCCCCAGTCGAAGCATTATCGATATAATAAAGAAACTAAATTAATTACTAATTCCCCCTGTCCTGTCAATCACTTGCAAGCATTCAATTCAATAGCTTCTCTTGTCACCGGTACCGTTTACACGTCGTCTGCATCTAGCGATTTTATTTTATCTTACAGTAATCATAGAGTAGTAAATTAAGGAAATGAGAGCCAAAAATGTGGATAACACTCATTTAATGGCCTCTATGTCCACACAACGTTGTATAGGGAATGAAACGGCTGCAACCAGCTGTTTGAAGCCAAGAAAGTAGGCCTAATTTTTTTGAAAATCTCAGTTTGAAAGAGGTTGTTTCACGTAAGGTTGAGGTTATGATAAAAATCATTATCTCAAACAAATGTTAATGTAGCGAGAAAAGTAGCTAAAATTCCGCTACAACTACTTTAAAAATGTAGCTAGCTACAGCTAAAGCTACAAAATCTTAAAAGTAGTGTAGCTACAGCTAACGCTACAAAAAAAGTAGCGCGCTACTGTAGCGTCGCTACTTGTAGCGCGCTACTTCCCAACACTGGAAGCAAGCATAGGAAAGCCAGATGGGAACTGACCATTAGGAAGCCGAAGAAGAGATGGTGGGATAGTGTCTCCAAGAACGCCAGAGAATTGGGGGAACCAGCAGTGGAAGAGGCAGAAGATAGAGAGAGATGGAGAGCAGTTGTTGGTGCGGCCAAATCCCGCCTTGGGCATAAATGGCCATGGGAGTGAGTGTGTGTGTTCACTTCTAAGGTAAGCTAGCTGCTATCCTTTTATTAAAAACTCCTAGCCTCAGCCTTTCCAAAAACTAACCTTAAAAAAGGTTTAAACACTAATGTCAGACAAAAAATAATGCTAAACACAAAAACTTCAATCAGTAAAAATATCTCCTTTCATTACCATAACTAAAAATGTATTCCGATGCCTCTTAGTATTACATCGTACTATAAACTTATTGTATATAAATTACATTGCAGACTACCAGGATGTTTAAAACGTTTACCTTTGACAAACCTTAACCACTTGGGCAGGATGTTGTCAGCTTTGCTCTTGATGAGGACCCTCCGTGTGTATAGAGACACTCCCATGTCCGTTTCATTACTCATCTCAAACAGACCTGAAACAAGGACATAACTTGTATATAAATCAACAGTTTAAAAGAAAGGGATGGTTAAGGCTTTAGTTAGGTCCTTTGGAACATTTTCCAGCCTTAGAACGCAAACAATTTGGCGGAGAAAAATAGAAAAACACATCCCTAATAGAGAGGAAGGTCCATAAACTTATTGAGCCTTCATATCCAAAGATGTCGTCAGTTTTACTCATTCTACGAGAGTTCTCGTCACCGTTGAGACCCTATGTCAGGGTAAAAGAAGATTTCAAAGGCCGCAGAGTATTATTTTTATCTCTACCTTCAAATCCTTGGACACTAGGTCCCCCTGGGAGTTATTTAACGTAATAGTATAAATAATACTATTACTAAAGATTCACCTATTAACCTGGTAATCAATCAATCACCACAAGGATACCCGATTATTCTAGTAGGTAATGTTATAACTGTTTAAGCAAACAAATTAAATAACTATCTCGCTAATCGAGTCTGCCTATTGACAGCGGGAACCGCAAAATAACAATACAGATTACTGAGAATACAATTATTTTTGTAAAGTACTCTGAACTGTTAGTACGAGTGAATGAAAAAAATGCTGATCGCGTCTTCCTACTGACAGCAACCTGCCTTGGACGTCATTGACGAGGAAATAATATAGGTGACAAAATAACAGTATTATTTTACCAATTACTGCAAACCTGCAAAGCTAAGAAACGTTCTTGACTTTAATGCAAAGAAACGTTTTTACACTCTATTTTATGCTATGCTCAAGACCGACGGTATTATCACTTAGACAAAATCCATCGGCAATGGCAGTATTTGTACCTGGAACCTCAGGGACCGAAAACCCGCCATTTATCACTAGACCAGCTCGCTCCAACAAAGTTCTCGGCAAAGGTAGCAAAGCTGAATCCATGTCAGTGACAAAATGAAGTTAAAAGAAATCTAGTTCATTCAATTAGTATGATCTACGTCTTCGAGAAGTGAAAGTTGTCAACGACAATCAATATCACCTGGTTTACTCTCGGGGAAAAACAGTAGCGCTTGCACGGAGAGCGGTGCATCAGTCTTGTAATGAAGGATAAATCGAGGTTTGTCGTAAGAGTTGCCGACGAACCTGAAGAACTCGGTGTACTGCTCGGGCGTGATCTGCTTGGGGTCCATCACCCACAGAGGCTAAAAAACAAGGTGGAAAATTAAATCAACCTCAGTTTTGATTCTTTAACGATCATTCATAACCTCAGTTTTGATTCTTTAACGGTCATTCATCTTACTTCTTGATCAATTTTATGTAAATATTTCACGAATGCACGAATGCGGTTATTTAACGTGTTCTTATACCATTTTACTATGCTGAAAGATGTTGAATAAAACTATAGGCCTACACTGTTCATTAGATTGAGTTTATGAAAGCCAGAAACTTTTACACATCCACATTATTGAGCCTTTTGAGAGTGTTAAAATCAATTTCTTTAACTCTACTCCTATATTTCTTGAATCCTGACACTCTGCAAGAATATGAAAAAGTAAAATGGTCTGTCATTGGAGAAAGGCAGACCATGATCCAAAAATTACGATCCCTTCCGTTTATTTATTGTTTTTCAGAAGCAGAACAATGTTTTTGCTACACTTTTCTGGGGCTTCTTAACATAATCTGATGTTTGTGACTTTGTCGTGTAGCACAACTGTAGAATCAGTACAGGAGTATCAGTTACCTGTATAGTGTTTATCTGGTTCCCGTTCAGTATGATGGGGCTGCCGACAAAGTTGCTGTACTTCTCAATGACTCCTCGCACAGTCTGTTCATCACTGAACTCTCGGCTCTCTGTCTTGAGGTGCAGAATTATCTTAGTACCTCTGCTAACACCCTCTGCTTCCTGGATCTCATAAGTACCCGACCTGCAAGCAAGAGGGTTAAACTACGACCAGGAAAAATATTCCATAAAGCGTGATTGATCAATCAGAGAAAAAACAAAATCAGAGAGAGAGAAAAAAAAAACATCAACTAAACAACAGTTCACTAATCTTAAACAACTTCCAACAATCTTCCACAATCGTGTCAAATTCTTCAACATATTCCGCAATTGCAAAGATCGTCTCCCGTAGTCGTGGCAAAATCCTGAACATATTCCGCAATAGCAAAGACATCATTGTATCCCACAGTCGTGACAAAATCTTGAGCACCCCCTGAGATCGCAAAGACATCGTTTTGAGGGATGGTAGCAAAAATATTGCAAAGTACCAATAAACGGTTTTTCTGCTAAGAACCGGTAAATCCAACAACCGACACATCGCAACCAAGACAGTAGGCACTCACCCGTCGGACACCCAGTAGTAGCCGGGACTGTCAGGCTGGTGAGATCTGGTGTACACCTCCACCTTGTCCGCCACCATGAAGGCGCTGTAGAAGCCTACGCCGAACTGACCAATCACAGTGTTGGCTTGCTCTGCTCCTCCTTTGCTCTTCAGTTGTTCGAGGAATGCCTGAGAAACAAGACTAGATTCAGTAAATATAGACTGATATTCTCGATATAATCTCAATTGTTCTAGTGATCATAAGTAATAGAATCATTATGTTGGTACGTGGTCATAGTACACCAGCTTTAAAAAGGCTCTTCCGTAATATATTTTTTGGAAGTTTACAATTTCGGGAACATAACTTGTCCATCCTTCTGAATAATATTTTGAAAATTACTACTTTTGGGTCACAAGACCCATTGTCAAATCCAACATCAAATTGATGGTCTATAAATTGCGACAGAGGACTAAAAACAGACGCAGGCTCATAGTTGTAATGCATTTTCATGAACTAGCTTTTTTTCATAGAAACAGTGTTATTATGCTATTTTTCTAAAGCTTGATAAAACTAGAGTCGCATCCTACCTTTGATCCAGATCGAGCAATTGTACCCAAGTTTGAAACCAGCTCCTCCTTGTTCATCCCGACTCCAGTGTCCTAAAACAAAAAATGTACACATATGTTTATAATTTGCTCCAAACTAATAGAATCATCATTTTATCTCAAAATATATAATTACTTACTAAACTCCAATTTAACAATATCCTGAGGATGTAGCCTATAATCTCCAAATTCAAAATTACAAAAAATCAGGATCCGACTTTTTCTAGATTGCATTACTTTAAAGAAATCATGACTGGATTTGTATTTAGGGCCAACACACAACAGAAAGAAGCTAGCCTATAAAACAAAGAATTTTATAACACCAACTTTAGAACATCTTCAACGGTTCATTACCTGGATTATAAATGTCCGGTTTTGTTTGTCAGTAAATATTCTGATCTCAGTTTTGCCGAGATCTTCAGCTGAAGCATCGGTCAGACTGAGATATCTGAGTTTCTCGAGAGCATCGCTAGCGTTGGATATTAGTTCTCGGACAAACACCTGTAAAATGTTCAATTGCTGTAAGTAAGATGTATTTCAGAACAGCCTATTTAAAGAATCGTTCATAAAAAACTAAGTGGTAGGTTAATAGGTCTACTCATGCTTATTATTCCTACCTTAATTGAAAACAAACAATTTATATGCGATAGGCTACTACGCTATCAAATAGAGTCCTTAGTCCCAAAATCAACAAATTTATAGAAAGCAGCTTATTTGACGGACAAACTCTAGATAGCCTACCTATGATTACAGAACAAGTTATCTATTCTCATTACAGTAAACTCCTGATTATCCGCGGGATTGACTGGCTTGAGCACCGCAGATTATTAAATTTCGCGGATAAGCCGCAAAATTGCCAGTGGATAAACAAAGGTCGAAGGCACTAAAAAAACAATGGAATTTTCTGAAATATAAAAATATTATAATTTATGTTTAGGTCCAAAATAAATTATGTTATGAGTTTTAAAATGTACTAATAGCCTACTAAGTATCGTACGTTACTCACCCGGTAAGCTTTACTGTACTTGCACAAAAATCCCGCACTCGGCTGGCAACTGTTGTGCTCGCACGGTAAAACACCACTTACCGGACTTGTGACATAATATATTATTTAATATTAATATTATATACGAGGGTTGTTTTTTTTTCAACCTCCGATAGGCTATGAACAAAAGACAAGTTCATATAAAACATTAAATTTATTACCAAAAGTTTGGTCCATTAATGGTTACTTTTTGACATAATCACCAAAGAGATTGAGACATTTGCTATATCTTTGCACCAGCTTTTTAATACCCTCTTCAAGAAAAGTGGCCGCCAGTACATTCCAAAAAACAAAAAAAATTCCAAAATCAAAAAAATGTCAAAAAAATAAAAAAATCAAGAAAAAATAAAAAAACGACTTTAAATTGTCTAGAAATTCAGTAAACAAATCAATAATGGTGAATCTGTGCTTTATTTAACCATTCTGCCAACATGTTGAACCAGCTCATTACTGTCGTTTCAGATGACTTGGTTCAACAGTTTGAAAGGATGGTTAAATAAACCACAGATTCACCATTATTGCTTTGTTTACTGAATTTCTAGACATTTTAAAGTCCTTTTTTATTTTTTCTTGATTTTTTTATTTTTTTTGAATTTTTTTGTTTTTTGAATGTACTGGCGGCCACTTTTCTTGAAGAGGGTATTAAAAAGCTGGTGCACAGATTTAGCAAATGTCTCAATCTCTTTGGTGATTGTGTCAAAAAGTAACCATAAATGGACCAAACTTTTGGTAATAAATTTAATGTTTTATATGAACTTGTCTTTTGTTCATAGCCTATCGGAGGTTGAAAAAAAAACAACCCTCGTACATATATGAGTTTAAATAAAGTATACATTTAAATCAAGTGTTTGTTCAAATGCATTTAGTATTTCAATGTATTTGTTTAACCTCAAGAATAGAATGATCGTAAAAGTCTTTTAACACCATGTGAGTGTTTTACACTTAGGGAATGTTAACTGAAATTGTTTTTGAGTCCCAATAAAATTTGGAACTTAAAATGTGACCTGTGATATAGAATACACAAGTTACCTCCTTTTCAGAATAGAGAGACTTTGCCACTATATCCAACAGCATTCTGGTCTCAGCTTGAAATTCCAATTTTTCACCTTCCCCTGAAATATAAATCAGAATCGTAACCTCAGATTCTTAACAAAGCAAATATACAGGGTGGCTGAAAAGCAACTTGCACCCCTCTTAGCTTTCCAACCATTTCAGTTTTTTTAAATCGCTTTGCGGCGACCTTCTTAGATGTGGAAGGCTATTAATGATGGTTAATTTTGAAAATGTTGCCCTTCGAACCCAGTGGGGGAAAGGGGGTAGCTCAAAATGGGAAGTATAGTCGACTTTGATATCATTTTATAGGTTTTGACAAAATTAAACAATATATTGACGTAAAGAAAACAATAATTTTGAGCTACCCCTACCTCCACTATCCCTAGTTTGGACATTCAAATCATTTCAAAATCACCCATCGTTATTGTAGCCTCTCATATCTAAGAAGGTTGCTGCAAACCGATTTCAAATATCTCAAATAGTTGAAAAGTTAAGGGTAGGGGGGTGCAAGTTACTTTTCAGCCACCCTGTAGGGCCTATAAGAACTATTGTCATATTCTTCTCAAGTGTAACATAGTAGCTCAAAACAAATTTTATAGTATTATTATTTTATGGGATAATCCCCATTAAAAATCAAAATTTAAAAAAAGTAAAAGAAAAAACGCCTGGAGATACAGTGGATTAGTACCTACATACCAAATTTCATAAAAATCGGAGCACAGGTGTGTGGTCTGTAGCCTCTGTGCACATCCACACACACAGACATCACTTCAAAAACCACTTTTTTGGGTTCAGGGGGACCCAAAATGGATATATCCACTCAAACTGAAAAATTTTGGCGAACAAAATACTTTCTCCATTTCAGGGGGAGAAAGTAAAAATCCATAAAATTCATATCAGTTCAAATACAAAGTTGGTCACAAATAATCTAAGTTAGTTAAGTTAGTTATATTATGATAACAAAAGGTGGGCTATTACTATGTTTCAACAAAATTCTAAACCAACCTTTAGCCTTTTCAGTGTGTTTCTCATAGTTTCGCTCAGCATTTTCAATTGTCTCTGCCTCGGGATTTGTGCTCAGAAGACGAGTAGACTTGAAAACTGTATTGCTACCTGCAAAATAAAAATACAATTTGTAGTAAAGAAATTACATTATTCCAGTTGCAATAATAACCGAATACACAGCGTAGTATGTTGTCAGTTTTGTTACCAGAAATTATTTTGAGAATAAAGTTAAAGTGATTTTTGTATTAAGTTTTTCCAAGATAGGCTACTAGTTTAGACTGCAAAACACTATTATCAGTTGCAAAGAACAGATTATTAGTTGCAAAGAACTGATAATATAGGCCTATGATCATAATTAGGCTAATTTAGTTCAATGTAGATTACAACCTACAAAGATATTTCGGATCTCAAAGATCAAATGTTTTAAAAGCAATAATTAATTTGTTAATTAAGGTCAAATATACTTTAATGAGAGACTGTTGTTGTATATTATAGGCTACGGGAAACTTTATCAATACATTGAGCAATTGGATAACTTTATCAACAGTTGAGGTCTAAAAGGTTAATCAGAAAATTCAATTAAAACTACAACTAGCCTACAATAATTTGATGAATAAAATATACATATAATTTCTTAAACAATTAGTTAGGCCTACCTAAATAATTATGCCTAACTAAATTACATTAAGTGGATGTAATTCATTCAAATTACTTCTAGAAAATTCTGTGTTTTATTGAATATAGCATGTTTCGTAACAAATTTGCATGATCGAACCATATTTTAGAAGTGTGAGACTTGCCAAGCACTTCAAATCCGGCTGAGACTTTACATTACACTCTACAGGATAAAACAATCATTGTAATATTAACATTTAAATTAAAGTAGGAGCATTTTTTAAACTAGGTCTAATATTTGAAGAGCAAATTTAAATTAAGTTACCGTAATTAAGTTTTGGTTATTACTGTATTCCTATATTAGAAATGTTGTTCAACACATTAAAAATAGTGTTCTGTGTTTGATTATCACTTTCCTCAATCTTAGCTTATCATTAACATCATAAAATGTAATAAGTTTAGCTTCTTGTTTACTTGCGCTTGCTGAGTCAAGGATTGCAGTGGAGGAAGAGTCGGTTATCGGAGCGAACAGTTTTTTGGATGACTTTATTATTCTTGCAATCGAGTCTTTTACGTATCCTTCAGCAACAGTAGAAGATTTCCAGCCTCCTTGTCGTTTTAGCATAAGAAAGTCATTCCCTTCTTCAACAAGCATGGAAGCCGATGTTCGCCTGAGAGCATGTCCGGTGTATCGTTCAGGATTTTCTAGGCCTAAATATTTGGCAACCTTATATGGCACGGCTGCGATTGAATTGACACCAACATTTTGAGATACACATTTTCCACGTCTATAACCAACAAAAAACCTGTCGCTTATCATGAATGATGGACGCAAAGACATGTACTTACGGATTAATTTGCAGGGTTTGTAAGGGTATTCTTCGTCAGTTATGGTAAAACTTCTGTGCGTTTTTCCATCTCTAACAAACACTGTAAAGTAATTTCCGTTGTCTTTAACATCATTGATTTTTAAATTTAATAAATCATCTTTTCGACACGCTCCGAACACTCCGATAATTAAAATCGCTTTATCAAGCAGCCATTCCTTGTCATCTGCGTCAACCAAGAACTTTGAAACTTGATCAGTGGTAAAAACAGTGGATTTGGTTGGTTTGTAGCCATCTGATTTTCTTTTCAAAAAAGCAATGCTTTTTGAAAAAGAAGCAAAATCTACATTCTCGTAGATTTTAAAACTAGTTTTTATCATCGAGAATTTGCTCCACATAGTCGTGGGCTTGTTAGCTTTTGCCAGCTCAGATAAATAATCCAGCATAATGTCATCACTTACGGAACAGCGTTCTACATTTTCCTCCTCCAGCCATGAACAAAACTTCTTGTACTCTTCATTGTATCTGTCTTTTGATTTTTTAGGAAGATCATCATAGATCACTTCCTCTGCTCTTCTTTTCAACAACAACGGTACAGGCACGTCCATTTCAGTTGATGAATCTACAAACTTGCTTCCTCAAACAAAAATGTTTTGAAAGCTTGTTATTGAAGTCTACAGTGGAAAATTTTCCAACGTAAACAGTAGTCTATTACTTTCACACCATTAGGTAAATGTGATGTTTCGTAGGTGAAAACAAATTACGATATAAACAAACAGTTGAACTCAAAGTGAAAGTTAGTGTAGTGAAAACATATTCCTTAGGCTCTAACATAACCTTAAAACTTACGATCAAAGTGACTGCGGGTTTTCCCTGCGGTGATGTATTTCGGTGTGCGATTACTAATAGCGTAGTGACGAGATGATAGCGAATAAGCTGATCTGCAAAGATGAACGAATTTGTTTTGATTTAATCTCAGAACTAAACTGAAAGGTAAAGCCATTATTACAGCACAATCACAATAATAGACCCAAGACAAGACCGGCAGACGACAGGACAGACAGAGTAGTTCAGAGCAGTCTTCAGTTCAGTTCAGATCGAGATCAGACTTCGACTTCATTTCGAGTTCACTGAGTTCAGTCAGTCGGTGCTGCACCCACCCACTAACTTGTTTGTAACGTAACAGTTCGTCTATTCGCCGCTAGACAACACTTACATCGTCGTCCGCAACAGTTCGTCTAGTTAACCGCTAGATGTCACTAAAACAAGTTCTTTTAATGTGGAGTAATATTATCAGTAATTTAAATTGTATTAATTAAGTACAATAAACAAACTTGAACCATAGATAAAACATACTCCCTTAGAACTCACCCAAACAAATGAAAAAGTTATTTATTTAAAACCTATTAACAACATTCTGGTATAAAACAGTAGTAGTATCATAAATAAGCTGTTTTACTTATTGGCACTCACAGTGATCTTTGTGTAGCTCGCACATATAATATCTTTACTCGACCATGACTTTATGAATGAATGAATGATAATGGCTTAAATTTAAGCCGATGACATTATCTATTGACGAAGACATTTGTTCTGAAGGTGTATTTGAGTTCTGTTTGGGACTAATGCAGCTAGACAAGTTCCAAATTATTGTTGTGGTATTGTATCGGCCTGGGACTGCCAACAGCGCTGATGTGATTGATTTTATTGATCGTTTTGACTTGTTGATTTCTACCCTCAGAGATAAGTTTAATATCCCGCTTCTTATTTGCGCTGACTTAAATATAAACAATCTTGAGAGATCCTGGGAAAGTCAGCTGCTTCAGGATTTGTTAGAATGTAATAACCTGAACATTATATTTAAAGGTCCAACGAGAGTAACACCTGATTGTATAACTCAGCTTGACTATTTTATTGTTGACTCGTGTGTTGCACATATGTTTCGTGCCTCCAGTGCCAAACCTGTTTTTTTTTCTGACCACCATTTGTTATCAGTACACTTGTTGTGTGAACGTTTTGGAGAGGGAAATGTAAATAAGACAGTGAAGAGGAAATTTACAGCCTCGACTTTTGAAGCCTTCAAAATTTTATCTAACAATGAAGCTTGGATGCCAGAACCTAATTTAAGAAATATCACCTCTAATGATTTATTTGACCATTTCTACGATTCGTTCATGTATGTTTTTAATGTAAGTTTCCCTGTGTCTACTTCAAATACAAAGAATGAACATAGCCCTTCTTGGGTCAGTCATGAGGTATCGCAGTCGCATGAAGCACTCTTGGACCTGTACTGGAATACTAGGTCGCCTCACTGTTCTGTCGATGGAAAAAATGCTTATCGCGCAGCTAAACGCCACCACTCTGCACTTGTTAACAAAACAAAAAAGGCCTTTTTTGGTAACAAAATATTAAATTCCAAAAACACAAGCAAGGAATCTTGGGCAGTGGTCCGTACACTGTGCGATGAAAAGTATCAGACCCAATCAAACCTGATTCTTATGATCGATGACGTGGAAGTCAAAAATCCTCAGACAATAGTAGACTATTTCTGTAAATCTTTTCACCAGGAAATATGTACGTTGGCTAAAGATAATGTAGCCCCTGTGTTGCCCACTGATCTCGAAGCGAGTCGCTTTGTACTGTCTCCTACTTCTGCGTCTGAGGTTCGTGAAGTCGTCTTATTAATAGGATCAAAAAAAAGTTCTGGCATTGATGAAGTCCCATGCAGCCTTCTCAAACTTTGCAATGAAAACATCTTTGAAGCATTGGCCTGCTCTATTAACAAGTCGTTTGAAACTGGTTGCTTTCCTGATTCGTTGAAAACTTCAAAGGTTGTCCCTGTATTTAAGAAAAATGATCCTCTTAACGCAAGTAACTACCGGCCTATTTCTGTCCAGCCTTGTTTTGGTAAAATCTTTGAGATTATTTTTCTTAAAAGATTGCTAAGTTTTATTGAAACAAATAACATCTTGTCAAATAACCAATTTGGGTTCAGAAAAAACATGTCTACCTGTGATGCCATTTTTGCCCTTTTAAAGGAAGTGTATAACCACCTTGACATATCTGACAGCTTACTATGTCTCTTTTACGACATGACAAAGGCTTTTGATCTTCTTGACCACAGGATCCTTCTGGATAAGCTGCGAGCGCTTGGCATTTCTGGAAACCCACTGCGATGGATTTCATCGTATCTTAAAGATCGGCACATGATTGTATCCTTGAAGCACAGAGGCCCTGACAACATCCTTCGGACATATAAATCGTCTCCATCACCAGCTCTGAACATCGGTGTCCCCCAGGGATCAAACCTTGGGCCCATCCTATTCCTGTTATACGTGAATGACTTGCCTGGCTCCATATCATCTGGAAATTTATGGCTTTTTGCCGATGACGCCTGTCACCTAGTCCCAAGCCCAAATCGGAACATCACGATTGAAAACGCCCAAACTGGCTTGCTTGAAATGTCAACTTGGTGTAGCAAAAATCATCTGGTCCTTAATTCTAGTAAAACTAAATTAATGGAATTTTATAACAGGAAGAAGCCTGAACCACCTCCGATATTGACCTTGGACGGGGTGCTACTTGAAACCTGTAGTGAAACCAAATACTTGGGCCTACACATTACGGAGAACCTTAATTGGGGAACACATGTCGATGCAATAGCGCCCAGACTGTCATCTGTCACCTACCTGCTGTTTAGACTTCAAAAGCTGGTTGACATCGAGATTCTCCTTAAGGTTTATTATGGCTGTTTTCATAGCATAATCTCATATGGTTTGGTATTTTGGGGTGGTTGTAGTGAGGCAAAACGCATCTTCATCCTTCAAAAGCGTGCAATTAGAAGAATATGTGGAGTCCATAGACGGACACACTGTAAACCTTTGTTCCAAGAACTGAACATCCTCACACTTCCGTCCCTCTTTATATTGGAATCCGCATTGCTTGTTAAGAAGAACCCCAATATTTTTGTAACAAACAGCATGGTCCACAATTACAATACAAGAAGAGCAACAAATCCACATGTACCTCAAGTAAATTCCACCCTTGCAAGCAAGAGCCCTTACTTCAATAGTATAAAAATTTACAATAAATTGCCTCAGTACATCACACAAGAGCCCTCTGTCAACAAATTCAAGAACCTGCTAAAAACATTCTTAAGTCAAGTGGCCTACTACAGTGTTGATGAGATATATGTCTAGGCCATGTACAATCTTGAAGAGGAAATGAATCCATCTATATAAATATATATGAAGAAATGTATAAAAACCTGACGACCACGTCGCTGATGCGATACCAGTGGGAATTCTCCAAGTATCCAAGTATCCAAGTATCCAAGTATCCAAGTATCCAAGTAAATGCTATAATTATCTAAACTATTTGAGAAGCTGAGAGTCGAACCTCTATGTGAGTAGGAGGTTGACGATTGGCTTATAAACGCAGAATGTTAATGTATATGATGATGGGAGATTTTGTAATCGTTTTGAGTTAATTTTCAAAAATATTATTCGAACATTCGTTGATGCTATTGTTTAATGTTATTGACAAAATTGACATATTCGATATTAATAATTATAAATGTTGAATAATATTTGTAGTTCGTGGCCTTATGTTAAAGGTTGTTTGAATCACTTTTTGTCTGTTAGGAGATAGTTTCAACTCTATATCTTCTGGTTGGTGGTTTTCAACAAATCATATTTCTTAATAATAATATAATGTTACCTTCTAACGTTCCAAAATGTGCATTTTGGAACGTTAGAAGGTAACTTTATATTATTATTAATAACTGACGTTCCAGTAGTAGGAATGAATTCTAATCATATTTCTTGTTAGAAGACAATCCTGAGCAAATCGATCCTCACATCTGTCTAATTAAAGTTCCGCCACAGTTCAGTCTCAGTTGCATCCACGATTCATCAGTCAACTACTGTCCGTCACTTCATTTAGAGTGATGTTACTGTACGAATTTTATTAATAAACAGTTCGTCTAGTTACCGCTAGATGTCACTAAAACAAGTTCTTTTAATGTAGTCTAATATTATCAGTAATTTAAAATGTATTAAGTACACTAAGCAAATTTGACCTCAGCCAAACAAATGAAAAAATTATTTGTTTAGTACCAATTAACAACATTCTGGTATTAAACTGTAGTAGTAATACTAATTAGCCGTTTTACTTTTTAACACTCCCAGAGTAATCTTTTGTAGCTCGCGAATATTAGGGTCCTTACTTAACTTACTAATCAATTGTTATGTTATAAAACGTTTTTGACATTATTTGAAAAGCCATAGTTGTACCTCTATGTGGGAGTATAATACCATACTAGTGTCCCTGTTGCTCGAATTCGAGCAATTTCTAAGTATTAGAGGTGTTATTTTAAAAGTAAAACGGTCATCATTTCTGATATTTTAAAAACATTTGACCCTAAGATTATGGAAATATTCAAGATCTACATAACAGAATATATCAATTTATCCAGGTTCTCTCGCTTTTTTCCATTGTAATATTTACGCCAACCTAAATTCAAATAGTAAATATGTCTTTCATTTCAATCAAGTCAGTAAATGTTTGTAGCAAACTGTTAAATTAGCAAACTTATTGACTGTTAAAAATTAACATAATTTCTTCTTCTCACTTTTAATTTCTGCCAACAGCTGGAGTTGCATAACAATTTTTGTTTCCCATGTTAATCTTATGGAGAAATACAAAACTTTAAAGGACCCCAGGGCCTCAGTCTCTGATTATTTCCCTAAAAAGAAAGTTTCCTGCACAACTTCACGTTAAGCTCTTTCCAATGACACCAAAAACATGTCAATCGGTTCAGTAGTTTTGGAGGAGTAATTGTCACAAAAAACATGCTTGCGTATTAAATAAGTATATAGATGTTAATACCGTGGTTAATACTTAGTCATAGTAGTGAGCCATGGCTCGATTTGGGATCGGGTTTAGTGTATTTCATTTTGTTTGAAAAAGCAAGGAAACTCACGTTTTCTTTATAACTAGTTCGGCTTTTATTATTTAAGTTTCAGTGAAATATTCCAATCAATTAGTAATTATATCAACCTCACCCCAAAATTGCATTTTTTAAATGTGCAAAATTTCACGCTGATTTAAAAAATGGTTAACATTTTTTTATATGTTTACCCGGAAAATCGGAAAAACCCCGAAAACTTTCGTTTACGGAAAATGACATTTTGGGTACCTACTCAAATTAACCGGTAGAGCGAACTGAACAATATCCAAGAATTTTCAGGATCCGGTGGATATTAACGGAGCTACGGCCGGAAAAGCGGGGAAAATCTAGTTAGCTCCAATTAAAATGACCAAAACTAGGTTAGTTTAGGCTGGGTTAAGTTACTAAAAATACCCACGTTAATTATTACTTAACCTAACCCAACCCAACATAATCCAACCTAACCTAACCCAAACTAGTTTTGGTCATTTTGGTGCTAACTAGATTTTCCACCGCTTTTCTGGCTGTATCTCCGTTAATATCCATAGGATCCTGAAAACTCTTACATATTCTTGTTCAGCGTGCTCTACCGGTTAATTAGAGTACAAACTATGTCATTTCCGTAAAAAGAAGTTTTCAGGGGTTTTCCCGGATAAACAACGTTTCCGAGAAAAATGGCAAGGTTTGTAACCTATCAGCATAAAAATTTTGGAAATTTTAAAAATAAATGTTCAAGAAATCTTCATGTTCCTTCCTTCATGTTCCTTGAAATCTTCAAGGTAATTTTAACTGTCGGCCAATTCATATATGATGCCACCTGCTACCTATGCTACCATTAGATTGCAGAGGTTGAAAAAAACCATAATTAGTTAAAATGGCTGTTTATTTATAGCATGCAAACCATTTATACAAATGTTGACATAACTTACAAATGCTAAGAGAAAATTTACACAGTTAAATTAATACAAAATAAAATACATTTAAGAAGTAGAAACTTTGGTTTTTTAATACTTTCTAACATAAAGAAATCATTAAATGTAAAATGTAAACATTAAAATCTATTATAATTTCAATTCAATCCTAAAACATTGTTGGCTTAAAAATGATCTCATTACCTATTTATCGATTTTCTGGTACATTAAATTAACACTCGTTTTACAAAATTGACCTTTTTTAGTTTTAGTGAGCCGATATGGACTAACATCACTATCAATTTATGCTTTATAAACTCATGAATTACATGTAATAAAAACAAAATAGTAAATTACAATTTTTCTAAGTATTTGATTGTATTACCATCCTTAACCTACGGCAGTTACAAACTCTAGTTAATAACTTTAATGCTTCTTTCTCTAATTAAAAATTGTAATGTTAATCACCTAATTAACTAAGTGCAAAGGTTTATGGAAATTAAGACCAACTATCAGATGAAAAATATAATGAGATCTAAAGTATTGGTGGAAAAAAATCAAACTAAATTTTATAAATAAATGTTTCTTATGAAAAATTTTATGGACGCAGTTACAAATTATACCAGGTTACTATTTTATTTTTAACTAAATAAGTTCTAGTACTGAAATCTATGAAAATAATTAAAAACCTATAGATAACTTGAGTTTACTGTAGTTAAGTTCAGAAGTAGCATAAATTATTGATATGGTGAAACATAAGTGAGTAAAGTTAAAAAGCAATTATAAAACTTACATCTAGTTTGTAGGTAATCAAAATGTCTATTTATTAATAAATATTGACAATATTGTGTTCATATTTTAACTATATTTAACAGTTTACGTTGAAAAATATTATCAGTTATATTTTACATTTTTGTTAGTTCTTGACAAAATAGAAAAGGAATACGAAGAAAACAAAAATCCAATAAGAAAACTTGAAGTAGATTTAACTACCTATAAAACATTTTAGGAATGAAAATTATATTTTTTTCAAACAATACAAAAAGAGCCCAAAAGAGGCGGCTTTGGGGGGGGGGGGGGCTTTTGCTAAGGGGGGCTTTTTATTTAATTGAAGCTGTAAAAATCAGTAACTTTCAAAATACAAAGATATTTTTCATGAAAAAAAGGAGTTAGAAACTTGAATTTTTTAACATTTTATAAGGCCTTTTGGTTGTAAATAAAATATTCTGAGGTAAAATAAATAAAATTCATCTTAGGACACAAAAAGTTCACTCATTAAATAAATCTTCTAAAACAAATCCACTAAAAAAATGTTCCACTCTTTATACAGTTGTATCAAATATGAAAACTCACAAAAACTTCACACCTGTGCAAATAAATAATATTGAGCACTAAGTAAAACGAAACCTGAAATTGTGCACTGGAGAGAACACACGTGTAGTTACGTATACATCAGTGAAAATTATTATGTACATATATACAAATTTGTCTAATGAACTAACAATATACAAATGTAGTGTCTACTTAACGGACAGACTTGTAATTAGTATAAACCACTAGTATAAAAGTTTAATAACAATTAGCTAAAATACTGTATAGTATAAATAGTGCGAAATAGGGGTGGGCAAGTATGGTGCTTTGGAAATTAAATTGAGATTTGGTTAGTTTTAAATACACAGATTCTAAGCCTTTGGTTTACAAAAAGGACAGAGAACTGTGCGTGTGCACAACCTAAATCTTAAAAAATGTGGCTGGAACTTTCAAGTTAACTAAAACAATAATAAGCATCTTATTAATCCTGTAAAAAAGCCAATGAAAAATTTTGTTCTGCGGAAACGATTCAACAATCGAAAATCTGATAGAATTTTTTGAAAGGGGAAACGAGAACGAGTTCTTTACTAGAACTAGAAAACTTAAGATTCCACTAGAACTAGAAAATAAAATAACGATTCCACATAGGTTGTTCACAAATTTGTTGTCGGCTTTTGCTGTTTAACTAGGTTCTCCAAATCACTTTGTTTTGGGGAGCGAGCTGGTCTAGTGGTAGAGCACGAGACTTTGGTCTCGGAGGTTACGGGTTCAAATCCCGCAAATCACCAATGGATTTTATCCAAGTGATAATGCCGCAACCCCTATGCCTAGCCTGAAGTAATGTGAAAAATAACCCTGAGCAAGAGCCTAGCGTCCTAGGACAAAAAACAAACACTCTGGTTGAAAAAATTAGTGGAAACAAATGTGACGGAATTTTAGCACCATTCTTACCCACCTCATTTGTGATTCGGGCTGTGTCGGCCCTATTTTGATTGTTCTATCAGCCTTGACTTAGTCTTAAACCCGCAATGGGATATTCCTTCATTGCTTACCTTCTTTAAACCTTCAACGGTTTGACTACAGAAATCATCAGCAAACTAATTACAATCTTACATAGTGTCTTACAACTTGATTGCCTTATTAATTGTTTATGCAACTAAACAACAATATTAAAATTTAATCACACTTTAGAAGCATGTTTGAACATAGATAAACAGGTATAAACAACAATTTAAAACAACCCATTAAAATCTTCAAATAAATTCTAATTACGATGATTCAAATTACATGAATTAACCTAGCGAAATATTTTGGGTTTCTAACAATGGATTTCATTATTATGCTCAACAACCAATAAAAAAACTAATATAGTTTTTTCTTTTAAATATAACATTTAGGGGGGAAAAATTTAAAATACAAAATGTAAGTAGATTTGACTCTTATGGCATATTAACTCATTATCGTATCTCGCTAATAAAATAAAATCACTTTGATCGTTAATTCACAGATAGTAAAAACTAAATAAATTCTACATTGAGACAGTTTTTAAAAACATTTAGAATCACACATATAAATTAGCCAAAAGCCTCTAAAACACAATTTTGAAAACTGTGCATGAAAATAAAAATGAAATATTTCAAAACCCTGGTCCAACAAACAAAATATATATCCATCTACAATTTAGTAATTTTGTAACACTTTTCTTATTGAATATGAAGTTAGCCTAATATATTATTGCACAATAAAAAGTGAGGTGAATTATGTCCTTTGGATTACATCCATAAGACCAAGAAGGTAGACATTTTTTTCTAAGACCAATATAAATTTGTATACGATACATATAAAAAGACCAAAACTTATTTAATTTGTATCATAAAAAAAAATGATTATTTTAAAATTAATTTCACGTTTGATATTCGACACTTGAAAAAGTGGTAAATTAACTGAAGATGTTACCGTACTTCTTAAAAAGTGACAAACAGGACTAAAGTATGTCATAATAGCTCTCAATTAAAATAAACTACATAAATAACATTGGTTTTAACTAAAAAAAATCTCCTGCATTTGGATAACCTGTATGAGCCATTCTCTTTGAGCTATATTTTAGTAGTGTTAATTGTAGTGTTCGGCTCAGATGCACGTCTCTAGAAGCACCGGCCGAGTCTGCGGGTCTCAGAAACTCTCTACGAAGCTGGCCGGGAACAGACCCGTCTTGCCTGTTCGCTGCTGAGTGCCCTGCGACATAAGGAACAAGGTGTTAGAGCTGACCAAACAGCAGAAAATGTAAGAGAACACTTGTGTTAGGCCTATATATGACACTGGAGAATTAAAGAGAAAAACTTAAAGTTGCGTTGAGAAACTAGAAACACAAAGATGAGTTCTCTTCCTACTCTTCACATATCTTACAGAGGAAACTTCGTTATGGAACAACCGAGTGCTTTCAGCTCTGGTTTGTGACGATCAAGGAAGAGCCTGAGCGGCAAGCACTATGTGTTTCCTATTGCACAGAGCATAGGGTCTTCCTCCATAGTAAGCGATGTAGTGTATGATGGTGAGGGGGGAAAGGAGTGCGAGGGGGAGAAGCAACTAGTGCTAGACACCACATACCATTGAATGTTTCCTCTGTACCTTACTTATCTGTGCTACTAAACTTAATGAATTGGATAAACGCTGGCTAAGAAACTTTAATTTATTTATTTACTCAGTTTATGCTATTACCTTACTAAAAAAACAACACACAATTATTATTGGGTAGTTATTGTGTTCTGGAGGTAGTGTTTCGGTAGTACTATTCGTTGGTGGCCACTAATCTAACCTTAGGACAAAGTATCAGTGTTGTACTGTTTAGCCTCTAGACTATTTAATTTTTAAGTAAGCTATTCAAACTCTATTCCTTAAAAAAATGCTAATCAACCACTTTCCCTTTCAAAATACGTAGAAAACAAGGGGAAAGCTACCTTATCCGAGAATATAATAAAACATACTAAATCTAAAGAAGTTGTATTAGTGGACTTAAAAATTGAAAAGCATGTATGAAAAAGTTTAGTTAAGTGTAAGTTGTGAGTTTATTTTTGTTTTAGGGAAGAGATAATACTGAGGGTCTGAGATATTGTGGTGTATTATATATTTATGGGAAATAAAACATTATTTAATTTAATTTCCAAAACTTAAAACTGAGGAGGATGTTAAGGTACCTGAACAATAAAAATTAAGTTGAAACACAATACAACCGTAGAAGATGATTAGAAGAAAGCACTTACTACACTAGAGGCCACCACAGAAGAAAACAATTATAACTTCATAAAAGTAAAGGGTGTGTATTTAGACATCAGAAAATAAGAAAAAAATTGTGCAATTCAATATTTCTGTTAAGTTACTTGCATTATTAAGCGGATCTGTAAGCAATTTGAATACTGAAGAGGAAGTGATAAAATATCAATAATTAATAGGAAACATCAATAATCAATAATTAATGTGTTAGGCCTTTTGAATACTAAAAAAAAATTGTTTGGCTGTTAATGTAACACCAGCCGTTACCACTGGTGAATTAGTGGACAAAATTTGACTAACCTTATGACTTCTTAAAAATCAATATTAAGCCTACCTTTGTTTTTTTCAGTCACCATATTCATTGTTTGCGGAAGTGATCATTGCACAAAAAGACATAATGCCTGCGTCCAATATAGTAATTACTAGAGAACCATCAACATCAAATATCCAACAGCTGAACGAGTGTTGTCGATGAAGAGAAGCAAGAAGCATTTGACGAACATGTCGCCGATCATTGCAACGGTCATTGAAAACTAATCCTGCTACAGTCTGCGATGACGTACAACTTTCCGTTACCACTAATTGTACGATGACAAACAAAACCAGCTAGAGCAACATGTCGAGAAGATAACTTAGAACCAAGATGTATAACTGTTGGTCAAGTACGTGTCCAAAACTGTACAGAATGTGTATGATCAATGGCATAGCGAGCGTCAGTTTGACTATGAGCCACAAGATGTGTCCCCGGTAGTATGACTCAACAGCTGTGCTTGTGTGGTAAAGACTGTTCAGAGCGGTCTTAAAACGATCCAAATTGACATCGGAATTTGGTACTTCAGGTTCAGTTTGTTCAGCCTCGATTTCTTTGAAACTCACCAACTTTTGAACAAGTCGTTCGACCGCACGACACTTTAACAAGAAGCACCCGCAACCTAGAAATAAGGTCATCGCTACACCGTCATCAAGCCACACCCTTATAAGCTTCACCCACGACCATTTATTGAAATACAAGTGTGCGATACGACCTAACAGCCGAGCATGACGAAAACTTTCAAAAATCAAGACAAAAGATGCAACAACTTGACATTCATTCTTGAGGGAGAGAAAACGTTCTATGGCCTTCAAGTTGAGAGCGAAAGATGTCTTTGTTTTGTAATCTGAAATTCCTGAGGCGATGGCAAAAGTGACTCTTACAAACAGAAGTGAAAAATCTGCAATCCAAATATACTTTATGTACTTGGGAGTGCTTGCGGGAAACGCCAGTTCATCAAAAACATAAAAACCCATGACCAAAGTGAGGCATAAGTGCAATCCTACATAAATTCTTTTCCACAAAGCGGGCCTCAAATCGTCCATTGAAACTGTGTTAAGTCCATGAAGCGTTTCAAGAACAAATAAGTATTTGAACTCTCCAAAATCTTCAGACATTTTTCAGCCAAAACAAACTACCTCCTTTACGTTTATACACTGAAATGTTACTGTTATGTTAAGTTGTATGTTACTGTGTGGTTTGTTTATAGCAACCGTATAAAATTAAAGTGGAAGACTCACTTAAATAAATCGATACTTAATGTTGTTTTATTTATATTGAGAATCAATAGGTAATCTATTACCTAATGTGATACATTTTATTTTACATGGGGAATGTAAAAAACATAAAGGTATAAGTTAATATAGTTGTCAACTACAAAGTGTAATAAGTTTAAAAGGAATCACCTACAAATATTAAGACTGTATCCTTCTTGTATTATCGATTATTTCAAAGGAGCTTTGTACATTTAACATACTAGTGACACATATAACACACTTTAATTTAACCAATAGTTTTACGTACGTAAACTTAATTAAATGTTTAATTCAAAAGTCTCAGTTGACTTAAGGATTTATTTTAACTTTTGTTAGAACATGTTTTCTGTTATAAACACAACCAATCCCTACTGCAAAATACTTTGGCATAACATTTTGTTTATGAATATTTTATAGTGCTCGCCTAGCAATCAAAAGGTCGCAGGATCGATCCTGAGAAAAGTCAGTAGCTTTTTGATGGTTCAAAATTGAACACAGCTGTTCCTGATCATTGGGCTTTAAATAAATGATTCATAATGATGAACTAGCTGATTTTAGTCAGTAACAAAGCTACACAGATCATCTCTCAACATCATCAATCTCTTCATTATTCAATTCATATAGTACTCTATTCATTTTAGTGACGGATGGAATTGCAATTTTAGTTTGGGACGGGATTTTTCCCAGTGCAAATAAGGATTTGGTTTAATCTTGAGTACACATTCTTTCTTGCAGATTAGCCCAGGCAAATTAGACATATGCTCCCCAAAAAATCGTCTAAAGCTGGAAAGTGTTTTAATACCTTTTGGGGGTCCCAAATAAGACTCCTGTGAGTTTGCGACGGATTCTGACGTCTGCTTAAGTTTTGGGAGTCAAAAAACTATGCAAATTTTGCACTTTTTTCAGTTTTTCGCTTATAACTCCTAAATAACGAATCCTAAGGAAAATGTTATTCAAGGGTGTCTTTTAGTGCATTTAATTCCGCGTCGATTGGTGTTAAACACGTCAAAATCGGCTGAGCTGTTTAGCCGCTGTAGCTTTTCAAAGTTGGGATATTTCAACTAACACGGCGCAAATGTTGGTTAATTGTTCAGTTTTTGGGTTATAACTCCTACACTACTACAAACACGACAGAAAGGTGTGCCTGTTTTTGGTTTTAAAGACTAATAAAATCTGCGTAGACAAACGCAGATTCTGCGTAGAATCTGAGCTTTAATTCATCAAAATCGGCCTATGTGTTCAGCGGCTATTGGTTTTTAACCCTAGATATAAAATGAATAAGACATTACAATGAATAAAGTTTTACTGAGTATAAAAAACATATATAGTGTTACAAATGTACTTGGTAGTTATGTTAAGATTTCTTCCGTCTTTTCGGAGAAGATGGTTGGTTTTCACTACTCCAATCATCTAGCTTCCCGTTTTCGGAATCTTGTGAATGGCGAGTAATTTATATCTCTCCTTTGTCACAAAGGGTGGTATCCGATATAACATCCTTGTCTTCTGATGAAAATTTTGCACTTTTTTCAGTTTTTTTGCAACTCCTAAATAACGAATCCTAAGGAAAATGTTGTTTTAAGGTGTCTTTTAGTGCATTAAGTCCCGCGTCGATTGATGTTAAATACGTCAAAATCGGCCGAGCCGTTTAGCCGCTGTAGCTTTTCAAAGTTGGGATATTTTCATCAACATGGCCAAAAGGTTGATTATTTGACCAGTTTTCGACTTACAACTCCTAAACAACGCATGCCATACAAAAATGTGCCTGTAGTTAGTTTGGAAAACACAAAATTCGGCGTGGAATTATGATTATGAATGACTAGATAGTGGCTTATTTCTGGTTATCATCCAGAGGTTTATCCAAAAATGTGTGAAGGGAAGGGTTTCAAAACCCCCTATGCAATTTTAAATCTAGTATTGTTGAGGGGGTTACAAAAATTCCAGGATCTGTCCTAAGCTCCCATTTATACAATCGCATCTTTGGACACTCCCGAATGATGTTAAGCGATTCTAATATACAGGGTTAGTAAAAAGTGTGGAGACCCCCTGTTATTTTTTTAACGGCCCATACTAGAAAAACTAAACTCGGCACACCTTTATGACATGTTATGAAGTACTTTTTGGGCATAACCGTCACTTGGTGTACATCCCCAAAATGTGGGATTTTGGGGGAAACTCAAAAATTTCAAATACAAAGACCCATCGAGTGACCCCTCATTTTGAAGGTCCTGGTAAAAGAAAACCAACAACGCAAACTAGAGGTCTTTATCTCAATCCAGTAAAAAATGGCAGCCAATTGAAATTCTCAGAAGTTCAATTTAACTTACAGATTTCCAAGTCTGGAGACCTGCTGTAAATTTTGTAGCGGCTCACACTAGGAAAACTAAACTCTACACACCTTTTTGGCATGTTATGAAGTACTTTTTAAGCCTAATAGCCACTTGCTTACCAAACCCAAAATGGGGGATTTTGGGGGAAACTCAAAAGTTTTAAATGATAAGCCCCATCAAGTGACCCCTCATTTTGAAGGTCCTGGTAAACGAAAACTAAAGACGCAAACTAGAGGTTTCTTTCTCAATTCAGTAAAAAATGGAAGCTGATTGAAATCTTTAGAAATTGGAAATAACTTGCAATTTTATATTCAATTAGCTGCCATATTTTACTGTGTTAAGAGAGACCTATAGTTTGCATTGTTACTTTTCTTTTATTATGACCTTCAAAATGAGGGGTCACTCGATGGGTCTTTGTATTTGAAATTTTTGAGTTTCCCCCAAAATCCCCCATTTTGGGGATGTACACCAAGTGACGGTTATGCCCAAAAAGTACTTCATAACATGTCATAAAGGTGTGCCGAGTTTAGTTTTTCTAGTATGGGCCGTTAAAAAAATAACAGGGGGTCTCCACACTTTTTACTAACCCTGTATAATAAGATATTACAAAGAGAAAGATTTTATGAAATATAGCAAAAATGTTATTTTTTAGCTTAATAAAGGAAAGATGATAATGGGATGGATGTACATAGTGTTACTATGTATTTAGCCTATAAAAAAAACGATTGGGATTTTTTGTAGATTTTACCATATAACTTTTCTACTTCTCATCATTGGAATCTTAAGAATAAGGATTCATTCTTTGCTCTTATTGGTCTTGCCACAAATGGTGACATTCGGTACCATCTTTTTCGTCAGATATCGAATTGAGATAATCGTGCCCCTTGCAAGTCTTTCAGACATTAGTGCATTATATCCCTGCATTTAATATGGAGCGAGAAAGTGTAAACCTTTTAACATGTACACGATGGTCGAGATAGGTAGACGGAGTTGAGAAGTTCTTGTCGAACCGGTGGATTAGCCGTAGTGATGGGAGTTAACCCATTGACGTTAATTTTCCATACCTATCTCTCTGAATTAAGTACAATTTTAAATGAGCTCTAAAGGATTGGTGGATGAGCAGCCCCTTTTGTTAGAATCAAAGTCAAAATTAGTTGAAAGTATCCTCTAGAAGAGACCAACCCTCACTTGATTTGGATATTTTCTGCTCCCAACCATGTATAGGGGCAACCAGCTTCTGCAACTTCGCCAAGCGTTGTAACCCGTCAGAACACAGTGAGATCCACATTGATTGGAGTAAACAGCATGAGTAGTTTTAGGCTACATGAATAGTTAGATATTTTCGACTCTTCTACATCACACTTTCTTCATCAAACTGCGCTAGTGGGTACGGACCTATTTTTAATCCAAAGTATGATTCAAATCGAGGCTTGGATTTAATGTGGAATATCACGTGTTGACTGAGGGGGCAGATTCTTCTTTAACCTTTGCTGTTGCCATCACAGCTCGCGATTAATGTCACCACTTCCTTTTATTCTGCACAGTTTATGGTCATTATAGGCTTGCCTATTTACGATTTTCTTGCAAGCTGTGCATTTCCATTATGCTTTATACATATTTCGCGTTGATGCTATCATGGGATAACTGCTGAGCTGATTGACATGAGCGAACTATTTTCAGTAAATGGGTCGTGACACTGGAACCATTTGATGAATTTCTTTTTGATCCCACCGTATCCGTGGAGTTTATATTGTCAACTTGTTGATAATATGTTGAAGAGGTACAATATACCTTAACTTGATGGGTAGCATTCACTGCGATGGGCCTGCCAGCGAACCATCGGGCTAGATCCACATCATTGATTCCCCTATCTCGGAAAAAGCTCTCCACAGTAAGATGTTGCTCTCATGAGCACTTGTTCATAGGCCATGCTGCACGATCCATGACGTCACACTAGTGGATAGATTCACTGCCATATCCCCTATGTTTTTGGTAATTAGGCTGGTTGTTTGCCAGATTTCAATGGTAAGATTTAAACTTGACAAGCATCTGATCTAGTGTTAACAATCAATAGCGGTTAAATAGTGAAGCCGATCTTAATGAATTGGACAACATTCTACGCAGACGTTTATGCTCTTCAAACTAACTACAGGAATATTTTTTCTTTAGCATGCGTTAGAAGATGTAAGCCAAAAACTGAAAGATGAATACAGGGATATATCGTATATAATGGGTGGTTGGGATGAATTCTAGAATTTTCGGAACCTCAGACAACAATATTAGACTTAAAATTACATAGAGGGTCTTACTCTCATCACATCTTATTAGATAAACCTCTAGATGACCATCATGGAATAAACCACTATCTAATAATTCATAATCCATTTAAGGACAGGATCTTTGTTGTTACCAATTTTATTAAAATTTCCCAACATTAACTTTAATACATTTTTTTCAATGAAATGGCGTCCATACAAACTAGGTAACAATAAATTGCCGTTATTGATTAGTAAAAAAACTTTATACGCACAATTTTGTGTTTTCCAAACTAACTACAGGTGCATTTTTGTATAGCATGCGTCGTTTAGGAGTTTTAAGCCGAAAACTGGTCAAATAATCAACCTTTTGGCCATGTTATTGAAAATATCCCATCTTTTAAAAGCTACAGCGGCTAAACGGCTCGGTCGATTTTGACGTATTTAACATCAATCGACGCGGAATTTAATACACTAAAAGACACTTTTGAACAACATTTTCCTTAGGATTCGTTATTTAGGAGTTATAAGCGAAAAACTGAAAAAAATGCAAAATTTTCATAGTTTTTCGACTCCCAAAACTTAAGCAGACGTCAGAATCCGTCGCAAACTCACAGGAGTCTTATTTGGGACCCCCAAAAGGTATTAAAACACTTTCCAGCTTTAGACGATTTTTTGGGGAGCACACCCTATATTTGATCTAATTTGCCTGGACTAATAGCAATAATAATGAAAAAAAATCAATTTGGGTAATCTTTGTGACACTGTTGTATAAAAAAATGGTAAAAATACACAGGTAACAAAAACTGTTGAATTTCAAATTTCGGTAATATATTATTTTGGAAACTTTTCTTACATTTCAGGATCCGTCCATCCCTAGTTCATTTCCTTGCATACATTGGCAATATTTTGTGGTTAGTTTAGTAGTGTAGTTCACTAATTTTGTACATACAACTTGTGAATTCATAATAAAACAAAAAAATTTTTGTATCAAGGGTCTAACATAGAGCACAACGCCTAGGGTTGCCTAGGATTTAGGATTTTTAGTGAGGATAGCAGGCTTACCTGGTTGGAAAAAAGTCCAAACTGGCACAAGAAACACAAAACTTTACAACTGACAGCATTTTCAACTAATCAAATCATGGAATGGTGTCAAAAAGGAAGGAGGAGAGAGATGGTCTCTCTTCCTCGCTCTTCGGTCTCTCTTCCGTAGTTGAAAATGCTGTCAGTGACAAGGAAATATTCTAATGTTTTGTGTATATAGTTGTAAAGTTCTGTGTCTCCTGTGCCAATTTGGACTCCCCATCTCAAAAATCCTAAGTTGTATCAACTTAAGATGATTCAGAGGAAGCGTAACTATTGGCGCCATTACCTTGTACCATCCGTCTTCTCTCTTGCGGTGAACATAGATGACGTCTCCTACCCTTAGCTCCAGCTCATACTCACTGTTAGGCGGATACGCTACGATACACCGGAACCTGCAAAACATTACAACTGTTCAAGTGCAGTCAATATAATTATTACTTTATACAAACAGCTGTTACTGTTGTTGGATGCAATTATGTATTAATTTCGTCAACACAACATTTTTAACTGAAATTCTTTTACTAATTTAAAATTTTTGGATGTCAATTGAGTGGTATATTAATGGTGATGTATACAATACAATGGTAAACACAAGGAAACAGTTATAATGCTTTGATAATATATTATGTTAATCAGGACAATTTCCTCAATCAGCAGACAAAATTTACAGCTGTATCCTCGACTCACAGATTCTTTAGACTTGCAACACAAGTATTGAAAACAGCCGTTTTCGCTGTAGTATGACAAAAATGCTAATTATCTGCCTAAGTTCTTCATTTACATGTTCTTAACTACCTCAATCTCTATGTTCCAATCTTTGCTACAGAATCGTTCTGTTTAGCCCATAACCCACTCTACTTATCTATTGTGTCTTATACAGCTCATACTTAATCTACTCCTTTATTGACACTCACCGTTCCCGTACAGGAGGTACCAGCTGTTTACTCTTGCGGTCGGAGCCGTCTAGTGAGTTAGACTTGCGGTGAGTGTGTGTGGGTGTAGCGGTCGGGTTGGCAACAGCGACGGGCGTCGGAACTTCACCTCTGTACCATACAAACATGGGTCAAGTGTGTTCACATAAATAGTACATTTATTCAACATTATCACAATGTTTTAAAAACGGCTGATAGAATAGAAGTTTAATAGTCTATGATCATTATTTGTATTTTTAAGAGGTCTAACTTATGAATTAAAAAATCTAATAGATGAAAATTTGGGAGTGCTTACTACATACTGACTTATCCGTTATATGATTTATGACTATTTCAATGTTCCTTTCTTTTCCTGTATGATTGGCAATAAAGAGGTCGGTGACCATAAAATATTTCAATTCGGTGTTTGTTTCGGTGTCTTTTGTTCTATTGTGTAAATAGTACAAAAGAACAACTTGCAAACTGAATCGACTGAATATGAACCGAAAACCACTGAGTTTTTTTTTTCTTTTTCGGCATATAGAAAATAAAATACATCTTCCAACAATATCCGATATATATACACTTTACTGTAAATATGTACAAGATGGTAAATACATAAAATATGTGACAACTGTAATCGATTTCGACAAGTTACACCGGTCATCATCAAGCCCAGGTTTTTTGGCATGCATAATAAGCCTTCTCCAAATCCTGCGGTTTGAGGGACACTAATATACACATTATTTATTTAATGATAAAAAAACAGACAAAGTGTATGGGTGAAAGATCTGATTGTACCAGCGTTGTGGAACAACAAACACATAAACTTAAGTTAACAATCTAAAATTTGCATGGTTTCCCCACAAAACAGCTGGTACTGTGAACGATTGTTTCTCGACCATAAAGATGGTTCCACTTCTAACAGCTTTGAGTTTCACCAACAATTTCATCCAGTTAGCTCAGTTATATTGCTAGAAAACTCTAACAATGTGATGAAAATTTCTAAAAGTACTATGATTTCTATTTGGCCTATTATCATGCAAACCACACTATTGATAGCAAACCACAAAACATTGTGCGTGCGACATTTTGTGTGAGTGTCATGCAAACTATACAACACAAAAGCACACATATTTACACATCATCAGTAATAAACACAAAACTTATTAGAGTTTATACACAAAATTGTCACTTTATAAATTATAAGATTTAGGATTGGTTGAATATAAATAGGAGAAAGGGTAATTTCTTTAATATTCTGAATCGATTTTGAGATTTCAATTAAGGTTATTAATATTCTTCTATAATACGGTTAATGTATAAATAATTGGAAAGCCAAGTGGATGATTAACAAATTTTATGAAGGTAAAGAGTCCAAGTGCTTATCTGAGAAAGAGTCCATGAGCTCGATTAACCCAAAAAAGGTACAAATTACAAAATATGAAACTTATATTTTTCTCATGACATTTTCAAGAGTAGATGGAAGAGAAGGGCATTTTCTGTCAATTAAAAGATTTAAGATATTGTATTTCCTTAAAGATATCATTAAAATTCGTCAGTTGGAAAAGCATACATTTGATACATGAAAAACTAAAATCCGTTTATGCACTAATGCTATTTTTTTTTTTCAGGTTGGAACTTTATAATTATCTATAAATCCACTTTAGGACTAGGTTATTTTAGCTTGGGTTAGAACCAAGACATAACTAATAACTACAATTAAGTATAGATACATACACATTATATATCAGCAGTGAATTGATGGAAAATTAAAAGAAGAAAACTTTATTTGTATTTTCCTATCAATCCAGAAGAAGTACCATATTAGTACAAAATATCAGTATTTGTTTCAAAACCTTTTTTTATTAGCCCCTGGGCCCTGGACTCTAATTCCCTTATGTAAGCTTGTTGAACTCTATCCCTCTGAAAAATTCCTATAATCAAATAACAAACTTCAGGAAAAGGGTTGGCAACTTTACACTATTCTCTAATCAACGTAAGAGGTAAAAATAATTCAAATTAAAACAAACTAATTCACAACAATGATATTGAATATACACAGGTACGTCTATGTGGGGGACATGATATACCTCGAATGGTGGGGAGTGAGGTTCCGATCTTTGTGTCTGGATCGCAGCCGATGGTGGGGAGAGCTGCCGTCCAATGGTAGTGCTTGTAACAGCTGACTTGGACAAGAGCCCGACCTACACACACTTAATATGTCTACGAGACCCTCTACTGGTACAAGTATGTTACTGTTGTCAGTGGATGTTATAGATTGGTGGAATGATAACATTCTTTACCAATACACACCCAAATATTATTTTAGTAGTCAAATTGTAGACGTAAAACAATAAGCAGTCACACAGAAACAATAACTATTACAAAAGTGTATGTACAGTAGAACCCCTCACGTTCGGCCAAAACGGAACTAAGCCAGGCAGGATAGGATTTGGCCAGATAAATTAGCCTATTACAAAAATAATTTGTGCCTAATAATATGTAATTATAAATGCGGTTCAAAGGAATGTTTAAGTATTTTTTGCTATTATTTTATTAGAAAAATATACATGTTGGTGAAATTAAATAAATTTAAACATGCTTCTCACTACAAATTTTGTATAAAGTTGTCTACTACTTTTTCAAAGTCAAAATTTAAAATCAATAAGAAGGGGCTTTTTGAGTGGGCCATAGACCCAAGTCAAGTTAAGGCTTTATTTAGCAAGGAATTTCTAAAACTTAATATGGTTTTTTTTTAGTTTTTACTTGATTTTATAAAATTATTTATACTTATTTAAACTAAGTTCTTGGCATTATCAAACAACATAGATATTGCTATTCTTTAAGTATGTGTGTGACTGTACGGCATCTACAATTCGACAAGACTCAAAGAAGAAAAATTCAATGTTGTGAAGTGCTCAATAACAAAATAAACTCCAAAACGTAGTAAACCTGAAAGTTTCTGTGACAAACATGAGTTACACATGTTTTGTCAATCTGTACATCTTCAGACACATTATACCACCACCACACACACAGCATGCCTTCAGAGTGGCAGTAGAAATCAACACATTCAAGCTGCAAACAATATTAAGCAATATTTGTACAATAAAATACATTCGTTAGTAGTGGATATTTATGTTAGAGCACATTTCACTCTATATTTACACAGGTATTTGCTTTGATGTGCTGATTTCTACTGCACAAGAAGATGAACCCCAGAAATATTTGATAGGCTATGTATTCATATTAGTCACACAGTGCGTAAGCTTGTCAAGACTGCTAGGTGGGTTGTACCATTGACTATAAACACTACTAGATTGAAAACCCCATGCATTTGGTTGTGAACAAGCAATCAGCACACTCTGGCGGGAAGGGGCGATCATAGCGCTGACGTCACTGACCAGTAGGTGCTGCCACGATGTGGCGGGCAATGAAAACATAGTGCTGTCTGCTGTTACGACGCAATGAACAGACAGCCGACAGCTGAGCCATGCTACCCGCGCCCACGTGACTTGCCGGAACTGCACATCCGCTCCCCGCTCGCCTCGGTTTCGTGTTGTTAGAATTGAAGCGCGACTGATCATTAATTTAACTGCTTCGCTAAGAATCTGAGATATTAGACAGGGACTCGTATCCTAATATTTATCGTGATATTTTAGTGGTTAGTGAATTTGATTGATAAAAAAGATGTCCTGTAGATATGTATGAATTTCCTATCTAATCAAATTTAAAACGTCGATGAGAATAACTTAAATACACATTTGCGTAATCAAACGCGTCATGTTGTAAATGTTTTGTTGTAAGAATTTATAATAAATATTTAATTAGAATTGAGAAAGTGTGATATTTTATCAATAAATAAATAAATTGATTTATCCACAAATCACAATTAAATTTTAATCTAGTAAGTATAGTAGAATACATCCACCTAACACTTTGAAACTAGTGAACGAGCTTAAAATAACGACCACACAAAACGCCCAAAGCAAATAAAAACTGCAAAATGTGCTCAGAGAAAAAGAGAAAGTGAAATGACAGAACATGGGGGGTGGCAGAGCGTTCGTTCGGTTCGGGTAAGGGCATTGCCTTCACACAATACCCGACAACCCCTAGGCTACACTATGATTTACAACATCTGTCTGCTATAAGGAAAAAGGCACCAGTTGATGTGTCAGTAATATGAGACATTGCTGCTGTAAAACGGGGTTAAATATTTGATAGGCCTATGGTAAGCCTTAGTTTTAATTTAGAAGTGTGATATAACTGTTACACGTCCTTTAGTTCCGTTATCAGCCAATTTTATATTTATAATAAACTATCACCATAGGGGCTCAGCCTGTGATCGATGTAGTCAATATGAAGACCTATGAACGGTTTAGGTTTATTAACTACCCTTACTTGGACAAATGTCGTACGTGGAAAGTCTATTAAAACTGTGTAGTGGGGAAAATATCATAATTAATTTGGTTCTAAAACATGTTACTATTATTATATGGACTTAAAAAAAAAATAATACTGCAAGCTAAATGTTAATTATTATTACTTTAAACGGTAGGAGTTGATCCAACTCCAGAAACGTTGAGTATCCCAAAACACAAGAAACATTGATGAAGTTCAAATAATAATAATGGTGTAACAATAGTCTTGTGAATATTTGTTTACGAAACCAGTAGGGACCTGTACAAAGTTTCTGTGTTTTGGACGATTTTGATATTGTGATATCAAATTTACACTGCTTAACGTATAATTGAAATAGCCTTCAAAATACACCGCCTTTTATAATACTATATGTTTATAAATGTTCACAAATCAATGGGAAAAAATAACCAAAATGGGTATTTGAATTTTTTACCAGCGAGAATATATTACAAACAATTAAAAATCCGAAACGACCTTCACCCCCAACATGGTGATTTATTATATAACAAGTGTGTTTCATACATAATTGAAGTTCATTACCTAAACAATATCCTTTGTTTGGTGATTTCAGAGATAGAATTATGTTATGTGATATGAATATATGTTATGTGATTGTGGCCAATTAACAATACTTGTGTTGATAATGTTACTTCTTGTAATATTATATTGAAATACAACTTATATCGTACTATATCTCAATGAATGCACTTTGAAAAACTACGCTATTAAGTAAAATTTGTTTACTTTTAAAGTTTTAGTAACACACATCTAAACACATCTAATAATTTGTACTTTACGTTTTCTTACCGTGGCAAGACCTGTATTTGTTTTTTTTTTGTTTTTTATAAGTCTCAGTTATCTTTCAGAGGTGTTACAGTATAAGTATTAAACTTTATGGGCTTTATTTAAAAAATGATTCACATATTTCATTTTAGGTAACACATTTAATTTCATTAAATAAACACAAATGCATAGTATTTTTAATATAATTATGTAAAAATTATAAGCCAATTCAACTAACCTCCTCAGTGCCTAAAATATAAAAAATCGCCTACAATATAAACTATATTCGCGATTTAATTATTCAATCGTTGATTCACTATTTGTTTGCTTTTATTAACTGTAGATATGTGCTTTGTTCTTTGTGCATGTTATTATTTATACTTTTTCATTACTATTTACACTAATTACTAACTAATTACTACACTAATTACTGGTTATACGTTGGTTAGTCTATGGTTATACGTAATAAATATTATTTTTACACAATTGTTTTAAATTTCATTTACCACTATTTCAATTTAAGTATCACATCACTTTGTAAAAAGTGTAATGCAAAATGCCTGAATTATTTTGCAATGCAGATTTGTCACATTATTTTTCAAACCAGACAACGAGAACCCCAGCGTATGCAGGAGTATATTTTCCTTTAACGCATTAAAAACACATTTATTTGTATACAGCAGAACCAAATTTTTGACCAGGGTGTTTTATATTTTTATACATTGGGTTGTCTGTAGCTGCCGATGTGGGGTCTTCATTTGCTAAATCATAGGGTCATAAACGAGGGATCGTACACTTTCACCGTACCCCAGCTTACAAAAGCCGAGATATCCTCGCGGTCACGTCCCAGTGGGCATTGACTATGCAGCGGGGGTGTTTTTACAGTCTGGGAGATCCAAACAACAGTTTGGACTCAACAAGTTTTCTTTGTACTGTACATAAGCAAATAAGAACTCATTTTTCTGTTAATTCAATTTATCTTTCGATTATGTGTTTGGAGTAAAGAAATTATATAACCTTCACTAAGCGTTGTTAATGTTAAAGATTTTTACGATGATAATTTTTAGAATGAATACATTTTGCACTATTTGCTTTAGAATTATAAGGACCATCACAGAAGAATTTCAATCAGAATTAATTTTTTTTTTCAAAAATCCATTTCTCGGTTTTGTCATAGTTTTATGGGAAAATAACGTAAGTTTCAAGAACTTTTGAACCGTAGTTTTTACCGGAATATGGGGCTGCACTAGATGTTGTTAAGAATAAATACCCCCGCCGCAGCAAACCTGCAGACTAAGCGAATTTCCATTTGCCTGATTGGATTTACACTAAAATATCTCCTTAAAAATATCACATTTATTCCCTATTTAAATAGAATCAGTTTAACACATAGTTAGGTTTACTGCAACAGGGAGGGTGAAAGTGTTTTTTTATGTAAAATGTTAATAGTTAGTAAGAAATAAAAACATTTTCCAAATTTGGGCAAAACATGTTAATAAACAAGCAAACTACAACAGTTTACTTATTCTCCATAAGAATAACATGAGAATTTTAAATTTACAATTTTTTGGAATTTTCTCCGTAACCATTAGGCGCATTATAACGCTTCATTATACTAAATTATTTGTTTTTTTAAGCTCTACAAAATTGTTTGGAAAGAAATTGCAAAATTTTATGTTTTTTGGGTCAAAAATGGGAAAAACCCATTTTTACCCCATAAAAGCCCCCATAAACCCCCGTTCCCATGGTCCAATCATGCTGGTTCGCGAACTCGTTCGAATAAACGTAGGTTTACAGGTTTGTACCAAATTTCATTAAAATCGGATCATTTTTGCTCGAGTTATCGCGCTAACGGACACATATATATATATATAAATATATATATATATATATATGAATTTGAACGGATGGTGTTTTTGGCCTCTAGGGACCTCAAAACGAAAAAAAATCGGTCCCGGGTCCAGGTCTTACCATGAGTACTACGGTAATAGCTTATTCCCTATATGGGAAATTCGCTAAAAGGATTATCACATACGAGTACTTAATTCAATCAAAACAGGGGGTTTCTTTAGAAATTAAAATTTTTTCTTGTATTAAGGGATATTTTGTTGAAATACCATAATTTACAATGGAATTTTAACCGTAATTTTTACAGAAATTGGAGTTATACTATTTTGTTCTGAGTTACAACATACTACAGTACTATTTTTTTCAAAATCGTTCGGTGATTTCAGACATCAATTTAGTGGATATATCCACTCAAAACTCATACTCGAAAATTTTTGGGTAAACAATACTTTATCCATGTACTAACTAATATGGGGAGAAATTAAAAATAAGTTGTCAAAGATTTGCTATACCCTCCTGAATAAACTCCTACCGTACCAAGCATACGGACGGTACGTGTAAATGAGTAAACAAACAAAACGCGGTATCGCGCGCGCAGCAGTAGCCTACTACATCAGGAGCAATGACCTACATCGCATTCACACAGCTGCGCCGCCGCCGCCGAGTACATCGCGAGCGCGGGCAATCGTTCACTCCGCATCGCCGAGTCTAGTCCAACAGTTTAGTCTAGTCTAGTCCGCCGCTAAGCTCAGTCCAGTCCAGTTGGCAGCAACTGCAGCGCGCCAGGCGACGGTTCCATGAACTTCGTGGTGACGGTGCTGCGATCTAAGTAGAGGGGTCAGTACTACGTGCATCCACCGTGCACAACACAGTACATTGTAGAAATTTCCTGTTCACGCGTCCTCCCGCATAGTCTTCAATCTAGTAGTGTTATATAGTCAATGGTTGTACATGTATGAACTAACCTAAACTGTTCAAGTATGATGTTTATGGTAAAAAGTTGCTTTGGGCTAAAGATTTTAAGTAAATTTTGTAATGGATTTGTTAAACAACAGGCTTACCTTACTAACAAAAATAGATGAAAATGCAAGAATAAACACATAACACGTAGAATTTTCGGAGCTACTAGCTTCTTGTTCAGTAGTCACTTCTTAATCACTACTGAAGAAGCTAGTAGCTCTGAAAGTTCTATACGTAGTATCTGTAAAATATGTACATTTTCATCTATTTTCATCAGTAATTTAGCCTGCTGTTAAACTTATCAATTACAAAATCCTAATTTGTACAAAAGTTGAGATTTTAAATGACTGTCAATGTATGGTGCTGTTAGCCTCCATGCTACGTTGCTGGGGGAAATTCAATTTGTACTATCCAACGACTAGAATGGACTTGCAGCGTTGTTGAAAAGTTTGTGTAATTAAGTTCCATAGAGATCAAGTTGTTACTAGGACTAGGTACAAAATATTAGTTTGTTTCAAAACCTTTTTTTCTATTTGCCCCTGGACTCTAATTTCCTTGTGTAAGCTTGATGAACATAGAGTTCATAGGGATAGACCCTCCAAAAAAATCCTATGTCAAATAACAAACTTCAGGAAAAGGGTTATTTGCAATCACAGCTGAAATCTAAGCAACACCTCATACTGCTACCCAGATATGTTCCCCAGATACCCAGATACTGTTTACTGTTTGATATGAGTAAGATGAAATATCATCTTAAATATATCTTAAATATGATAGATTTTTACTTGAAGTTGGTTTAAAAGCAAGCTCCAAGATGATAAAAAGTAAAATATTCAAAACTCAATCGATGGTGTGGAAGCTAAAATATTTAATGTAACACTCTGTAAAGTGGTCTTTTGTTAATTCACTACTATAGTTTTGGACTAATAGAGTCCATCTTTAAGTGACAAAATATCTAGTCATGTCTGGTTTTCAACACACATGATTTCAGCTGTTTTGGCAGATCTAACCAACATGTAAGGAATACTAGATGTTTTTATCGCAAATACAGTAGAACCTTGATAATGAGACTCTCACGCGAATTGTAAAATAAGACTTGTTATCAAGGTGTACTTCTTATCGAGGTTTGCAATAACATGTGATTAGGGGTAAAAAAATTTTAAGGGGATTTGAAAATGACACTTGTCATCAAGGGCGACTTGTTATCGAGGGTCTTCTTATCAAGGTTCCACTGTATGAAATCTTGTAGTCCAAAACTATAATAGTAGAGATCTGCTAACAAAGGATCAATTGACAGACAGGTAATTTAAACTATTTTGAGTAATCCAGTGGCTATCACCGTTAATTTCTGGATACTAAAGTAGACATCGCATCTAAATGGACCAGCTGTATAAAATTTTTTTTTCTAAAAAGAAAATAGTTGAATTAAACACTCACCTAGTGCGCTAGTGTCTAAAATTCTATTTCCTGTCTTTATTTATGTTACCGAGATACTTGACGTGACATAACATGCTATAGCTAACAATAAATCGTCCTAACAACTTAGATTTATACTCCAATCACAAATTTAGGTGGTTTTAGGGGAAGAAATCTACCCCTCAACGTCTTGACCCTACCATTAAAACATAGCTCAATAGCTGAGGTTTGTCAAAACGTCAATCAGCTACAACATATATTAAGAAGAAAAAAATAGGGGAACTTCTTCTCAAAGTGCCTAAATATTGTGGACAGAGTATAGTTAAAAGAATGTGTCGACACGATTCAACTACATCCGTAGTGAACTGGCGACAACTTCAACACGGGGATGGAATGTCTAGTTACGATGTCGGAGCTACTGTATTGCATACCTGACGTGTACTGGAGGCGTGTGTGTAGGAGTCGTCGTAGTGACAGAACCGTCCTCAAACACAGGGTTGTCCATGGAGTAAGACGGAGGAGGAGACCGAGACTTCTTCATACTTGTCAGCCTTCGCATCAGACTCACAGACTTTTTGTCTCTCACCTACAATATGGACAAACAACATTGTACAAAAAAATATATCTGAAAAAAAGAGCAATGAAGCGAAATCAAACAGATTTTTGGAAGCACAGAAAAGTCTGAACGTAGATAGCAACAAAAAAACATTAAAAAATATTTAGAATTAAATAGTTGAGAAAAAATTAAAAAAATTACATGTTCCACAAAAAGTAATTTCGTACAAACAACACTAGGTAATAAGCCTATATAAGCTTAAAGCATTTGAATTAGTGCATAGGTTCAGTTGCTATCAGTGACTTACCAATAAAAATCCGTTGAGCAAACAATGAGAGTATATAACAAATTTTGAAATTAAACTTTTAAAAGTGTTGACGATTTGTGTTCTGTCATCCGTCTAGTTAAATACTATTTAGTGTCCTTTATATCCTTCTATATCATATCTAGCTCCTTCAACAAATAAAATAAATATATATTTGGGATTAGATAAAATGATATATTGACACAAATGTTATGAAGAGTCGTCACATAGCTCCAGGGATAGCCAATATTTTTCTAACTTCTAGCTATGGAGCTTCAAAATGAATTTTTTGTTTAAAACCATCATCAGGTTTGCAAGAGATAATCTTGATACGATAAAAATAAATATAACGTCCTTTATCGAGGTTAATATTACGAAAAGAACACAACATTGCTTCAATATCACCGATGACGATATCAGAAGACAAAGCAATGTTACTACAATCAATAATCCTTCTTGAAAGCAATTTTTCAAAAATCAACAAAAAAAGGGTTGGGATGAGGATGTTAAGTTGTACAGTACCTTATCAGTAGATCTAGGAGGCGGTGAGACCACGGTGGTGTTAGGCGGAGAGTTGACTGTCGTGGACTGAGCTAGTCTTTGAGGGGAACCACCATCCTGTGACTGTGAACCTGTAATACGAACATCACTTCATTATCATCTTATCAAATCAGAAAATCATGTACTGCAATAATGATGGTTTTTCAACCTAAAGAAAACTCACTCTTAGTTGAAAATGCTCTGTCAATGACAGTGAAATATTCTAATGTTTTGTGTATTTGTGTCTCTTGTGCCAGTTTGGACTCTCTTTCCGATTCAGGTAAGCCTGCTATCTTCAAAAAATCCTAAAAACCAGGCCTTTGTTCCTAAGAATGTAACGATGATACATCCTAAACATTCCTTACTGTAATGGGTATTGCCTTGACTTTTCAAAGGGCTACCTGCAGGGTTGCCACCCATCCCGATTCTGTCGGGACAGTCCCGATTTTGGGACCTTATGCCTGTATTTAAGCCTATGTTAATCCAGAGGGGAGGGGGGCATGTCCCGATTTTTCCCTAACCTAAGGTGGCAACCCGGCTACAAGGGACACTAAAAGTTATAACCTTTTACGCTGGGACAAATTTAATTCAATATCAAAAAAAATCCCCGTTAAATTTGTCTATTACCAACATAGAATGTTCTTAAAAATGAGAATATAAAATCTTAAATATAGCACATGATACCACAAAATTATGTCCATGAACGTACACAATTTTAAATACGTCTGTAAGTTTTGTCCTACATCTTTGAGAATGGCCTACAAAATTACATACATACACTAGTGTTTGAGAAACTTCAGGATAGATTTTCTGGATTTAGAGAACATAATGTATATTGATATTTTGATAGAAATCTACAGGCTGGACTTATTCACGTCTAATCGAGTCTTATGAATAAACATCGGCAAAATCGGGAAAACCTCTGAGGAACATCATCAAAGTCTACCACAATAAAGGCAAAATATCTTCCACAATGGAGAATACATCATCATGTTCACCATTGTGACAAAAGTGAGAGCAGTCTGGCTGTTAAAACCAATCGACCCATCTAAATATATAAAAGGCAAAGCCCTCACTGACTCACTGACTGACTCACTCACTCATCACTAATTCTCCCACTTCCCATTTACCTAGGAGGCTGAAATTCCGTACATCGATTCTTTGGGCATTAAATAGGAAAACTAAGCAGTTTTTATTCTGATCGGGCTTTCAGGCTCCGTCCCGGTGGCTCTGGAGTTTCCCATGTTAACCTTTTTTCATATTTAAAAGGAATTAATGAATCTTAACAGCTGTTTCAATTAAACAAGTTGGTTCTGTTCTATGATGTTCAATAGCATTAAAGTTACAAGGATTACCCACAGGGTGCAGCACTATTATTATTTTTTATTTGTGACAACAGCTAGTTTGCAACCAAAAGGTGAGTGAGGGTAGCGAACGAACTTCAATCTGGAGGCGAGTTAGCGTAGCGAACGAGCTAACCTGAAGGCAAGTGAGCGCAGCGAACGAGCTCCAACCCAAAGGTGAGTGAGCGTAGCGAACGAACTTCAACCAGGACGTGATTGAGCCATGCGAATTCTTATAAAGTTAAACGGGGCAAAGCCCGCGGGTACAGCTAGTAGAATATAAAACTATGCTAAAATATAGAAACATGAGCTGACAGAGTTACAGGTAAAGTCATGACAGAGAATGCAAGAGGTTCAACCTACCACTGGACGGGGTTGAAGGAGTTTCCCCGTGCCAGGAGGCAGAGATCTGGGCGGAGGACATCTCTGGAGCCACACCTGGGTTAATAACATAAAGGTCACCTCATTGTGTGAAAAACATTAATGAAAGAAAAACTGAAGGCAGCATACACTTATCAATATAAGATACTGCAATAAGTACACACATATGAGTACAAGGTACCAATGAAATGACTGAGAAAGGAAACACACTAGGGTAACGTTATAGTTTAAAGTAAAATAGAATAGTTAGGGGTTTTTTTTTTAAGGAATAGAGTCCAGCTAGCTTACCGTTGAAAATTAGAGTCCAGAAGCTAATAGATATACAGTGAAAGAACACAAAACACAATACTGATATTTTGTCCTAAAGAAGGATTTTTCAGAGTAGGCTGAAGATGAATCGTTCTCGTTGAAACGGTTAGTTTCTCTTCAACATACTCTTTGAAAAGATCCTAATGGACAAAATATCAGCATCGTGATCTGTTAGTGTATATCTATTAGCTCATGGACTCAAATATATAGGTAATCTAGCTGAACTCTATATTTCAAAAATATCCTAACTAGGGAAAGTTATTGTCCAATGTTCCAACACAAGAAATTACTTTTTTAACATAAAATGGTTTCCCAAACCAACATAAAAAATTAGAAAATTGCATAAGAGGTTAGTAATAAGAATTAACCAACTCTACACTGCGAAATTAGTAAAGATAATCCCAGAGGAGTATTAACAAATTCTGAAAGCATTATAGAAGAGAAAAGTAGCTACAAGGCAAGGTCTTACCTTTTTGACACTGAACCAGTATCTTATAAGGTTAAACATATGGTACATACCAGATGTGTTATGTTGTGTGGGCGCTGGTGCTGGCGATTGTCTCGTATAGCTACGAGGATGAGGTTGTACAGCCACCGGGACCAACGGAGCAGTCTTGTGTATAGTCAGAGACAGACCTCTCACTTGCGCTTGTAGAGCTGACAGTGATCTAGAGAGAAAACAACAGTTAAATCTTAAACTATACGGGCTGACTTAATTTAAAAAAGGGGTCTGCTGACCAGACATTGTCACATCGGGTCGGGTCAAAAATTCTAGTACTTGTTTATGCATTTGTACACAATTTCTCCAATATCACGGTGAATGTCTTTCACGATCATGGGAAAATAAAAAACGTCTACTGCCGTCACAATAAATCCTAGAACATCTACAGTCAATTTTCTTCCGGTGTCGATTCCCACATTTTTTTCAGGCTAGACCTAGGGGTTGTTTCATTTTACTTAGATAAAATTCATTGGTGATCTGGTGGAATTTGAACCCACAACCTCAGGGACCGAAGTCTGGTGCTCTACAGGGTGGCCGAAAATTACACCAAACACCAAAGATAAATTGGTATTGATTAAAACCACATAAATTTATTGAGGACTACACCAAGTGAATGTAATTTTTAGTCTAAAACATCGGTATGCATACTTCTATTGTCTCGGCAGAACTTGTTTGGACGCCAAATTTGTTGGCTTATTCGTTTCAGCATGTCGGGGGTGACTTGTGAAAAAGTTTTCCCTTACTCTGTCTCTCAGTTCGTCATTTGTAACATAACGGGATGGTAAAGGTTTTTCAAATCGCGTGACAAAGTCATTCATAGTGTCTTCCATCATTTTCCTGGTATGTGGACGTTCATGTACCCATACAGTAGCAATTAAACGTTCATTGATACTAAAAAAAATTGTGTCTGCCATCCTGACTCGTTGAGCACTGGTCTTGAACCGAGCGTCACCGCATCCTAGGGCCGAGGCGGTGGTGGGGAAAGGAGAGTGAGGCTCAATTCTCTCACCCCAATGTTCCGCTACTACTCATCAGCTGATCCCTTTACTGATCAGCTGAGTTTATAACAGTGTACTACATACTGAGATATTGTGTAATGGTACATTTCGGCCGCCCTGTACTACTAGCCCAGCTAGTTCCCTTTTTGATCACTGGACTTTTAATGAACGACCCTGGTTAACAAACTCGTCAGTAACAAAGCTACATATACTCACTTGGCAGGAGCCACGTAGTTGCCAGGGAACACTCCGCACTTGTGGCTGCGGCTGGCCGTTCCCTTGAACCACCCGTCCTGACACCTCTCGGTGACCGTGTAGACGCTGCCTCGTTTCAACTCGAGCTCGTCCGCCTTCTGAGGCTTGTATGGGTACAACGCCACGTAGGCTGCTGGTAGTTGCAGAGCAGAGTGGGGGGAACCTTGTGGTGGGGGGATTTCTGACGTACGGCGGAGCCTGTCCACTCCTTCTACACCATTGCTCTGTGTAGGGATACAAGAATTAACCGTTGAATTCATAATATTTCAAGTGTCTAACAGATTATTGGGGACATTTTCCATCACGAATTAATGTTTTCATAAGGTTTGTGATAAGGATTCTGATCCTCAGGCAAGAAGTATTAAAACATTCAAGGAATAGTACACAAATCCAAGCTGAAAAAACAAAAACAACTAGCCTACCCACAAAAACAATCGTCATTAATAACCATGAGCCAATTTTGGTTACTGTTTAAGAAGGGGAAATCTTATTATTATCCATTCTAAATTAATGTTTACATTCTGGCGTTCCTGTTCGCTGCTGATATACGACGCTTTTTGTCAACACAGTGACATGTTGAGGCATCCGTCATGGATATTAAAATAAAACAGTCGATACACACAATTTACAAGAAATACAAAAACAAAACCAATACTTTCCTGACGTACCATTTTATTTGAGATCATTGAATTGGGCTGATGTTTCAGCCTCTTTGCAGAATATGCCTTGTCGATCAATTTTCACAGCAACAGAAAACTATTCTCAATGCCAGCAGTAGTGATTCGTCTCTTATATTAATATTTTAAATACTTGAGAAATTTACTTAAGAACTGTTTCTGTTTTAGTCAATGTTTATAAACTTAAACTTTCTTTTTCTGTTAGACTCAGTACTAAATACTAACCTGACTGTCCAGGCTGATATCCGTCGGGCTGAGTATCTCTGCCGAATGTCTGAAAGCAACATCTTAGTTACTAAACAGAAATCACCTTCAGTATAATAATTTTGAAATAAAATACTATAGCTTTCTGATTTAAAAAATGGTATTTTCTTATTATAACAACCCCTGTGAATCTGTTGTAGAAGAAAGTGACTTTTAGTGTTCTCCCAGGGGGATCAGTTGCTGAGGGTCTTAATCCTGGGAGGTCTAATTTGATCTTCGGCACACATTTTACATTTTGTACTTGTGACTCAGGGTCTAAACGGACAGTAGCCAAAGGTCTAAATCCCGGAAGGTCTAAAATTACAGTCAATGAAAAAAATTTTATCCACCGTTACTGTTTTAGACCTTCTGCTACTGCCCGTTTAGACCCTCAGCAGCAAGACCAAAATGCAAAACGTATGACAAAGGTCTAATTAGACCTTCCGGGATTTAGACCTTCAGCAACACTCCCCTCCCAGGGTACCTAACTATCACCATACTGTTACTTAAAACCTTTACTTATTTTCTAACAAAAACTTATTTATTGCTATTTCAAAGGGTTCACAAAACTGTTAGACCACCATTCTCAACAACCGGAAGGGCAACTGTGTACCTGACCATCCTAAAATGTTGGCGACTTGCAGACCTATGCTTTAAACAAAGTACTGATTGGTTACCTGTTGTGCGGATGATGCAGTACAGGTGGCGGTGGCGACGTCGGGGATGACGGGGCCGTGCTGCTGCTAGACGTGGCGGGGGAGGAAGAGGACGGAGACGTGAGCGTGGTGGAGCTGGAAGAGTCTGACGCAAGCTGCGGTTGATGTAGCTGCGGCTGATGTGTTTGCGGCTGATGTATTTGTGGCTGATGTGTTTGCGGTTGATGTATTTGCGGTTGATGTATTTGCGGCTGATGAACCTGCGACTGCGATTGAGGCTGTGGTTGAGGCAGTGACTGGGGCTGAAAGGAAAACAAGAGTAGCGAACAATCCTATAGACAATGGCAACGTTCGATGCTGAAAGCATAACTTATAGACTTCTTTGAATAATTCTTGCTTCAGTTGTTAAAACCAAATTTCATTGACTTTGGAAGGGGATAACGACTTAATAGACACAAAATCAGAATCAAAATGGATTAGGAGACAAATCAATCTCTCCTAACCAAAAGTAAGAATATGGATGTAACTAGGTTATTAGGATTTTTACTGAGGGTTGTCTGAATAGGCAAGCTGCCCAAACTGGCACAATAAACACAAAACTTTACACTATAGGACTACGAATTGTGGATATTTATAGGCATGCATTGTGGATTCGATACTCCCTGGTGTGGATTAACGTCCGCACGAGTGAGTACTACGACTATCCACAGTACTATCTTGATAATTAGACCAATTCGTATATACCAAGGAAAAAATGTGGTTCAGATTCCACTATAAACTGTTGCCCTTAGTTGCCATTAGCTGTATGGGCTATTAATTAACAGCTGTATCTAAGGAATGTCGGCCTTAGTCACTAACAAGACTACAAGATCGCGCCACTCATCCTACACTCATCTCCATTCATACTTGGCTTAAAATACCTACTTTGTATGGTCGCCATTTGATAAGAAAGTATAAAGTATCAAATATTAGAATATTTTACTGTCACCGACAGGATTTTCAACTAAGGCTAACCTTTAGGACTGAACCTCTCTCTTCAAGTCATACTTTCTTTGTTGTATAATGTGTCAGTGACAGTGAAATATTCCAAACTTTTTCCCATTCAGGTAAGCCTGCTATTGTTACAAAAAGTCCTAAATACCTAGGTCCTTGCTCTTATGCTCTATCTTAGTTCCTTGACCTCCGTCAAAATAGTTGCTTACCTGAGCTGGGTGGGTATTGTGCGAGTGGTCCGTGGGTATGAGAGGGGTGGCGTCCTCCATTGTAGGCGTGGGTGGAGCCAGTCTAGACGGGCCCGGCTGTGAACTGAAACATCAGAACAAGAACAATCAAATGTGGAACAAAACACAACGTACACAACTGCCATGTAACTACCAAACTAATAATTTTGAATTGTAGAATAAGGATAGCAGTTAGCTTACCTTGGAGATGAGTAGGTAGGCCATAGAATGATAGAATACAGAAGAGACACTGAAGAGAACATGTCTTCGTCCCTAGGATTTAATCAAGTGTAGAAAAAGTGGAAGGTAAACCCAAGGTATACTCTCTACTCTCTGCCAATTCTTTACACTTGACAAAGTCCCTCAGGAGACAAACCATTGTGTTTTCAGTGTCTCTGTATGTTTCTATGTCCTACCTACTTCTTCTTCACGGTAAGCTAGCTGCTATCCTCCTTATTACACAATTCAAAATTCTGGCCTAGAGCCTTTCCTTAAACAAAAACAAACTATAATAATATGTGTTGAGTCGTAGAGAATTTTAAATCTTAAAAATTCTATTCTCAAAATGTATTAATTTAATTTTACCCCAAGGCAATCGGAGAGCATGAAATAAAAACTCTGCTTCTCAGTTCACACACTTTTTAATATCAGGTTTTAAAATTGGATATATTGAATTATGACAAGAACTGTTATATTAGATTAGAATATTAAATGAAATCTTCCGGAAGGTTAAAACTTTTAAATCCTAAAAATCTGATAGAAATATTGTAAGAGTATTTTGAATAATTGCTAAATAAATTAAGTTAAAAATTATTTTCTACTTGCGGAGTCTTTCTAGAAAAGTCCAGGTTGTGGTGAGTTTCAAGTGAGGTCGTGACGTGGGTAGCGAAGCGGTTGTAAGAGGGTTGGAGCTGGCGATGTCGTCTGGGAAGGTTGCAGAGGGTTGGCCTCAAAGGAGTAGCTAGGAGAGTAGAGGTTTGACGTAGAGAGACTCTGCTAGTGGTCCAGTGATGCCCGTAGAGGAGAGGGATGACTTGAGCTTAAAAGTGGCGTGCAGGTTGACGACAGGAGAGAATTACCAGTCCATTCACTTGTAGAGGTTTCATCCAAATATTAATACTGAAGATTTTACTTCATTCACTTCACATCACTGTCACTGATACACTGAACTGTACTATTATGTTCTAACATTGGTTATAATTAAAAGAGAGAATTTAGACTACATTTTGAATCTATAACTACAATATATTTGAGGACATGTTAACTAGAAGGCAGTAGTGTGTAGACTGAGACAGAGCAAAAAGTGAAAGCATAAAACAAGAACAATACTGTCTGGCAGATAAGGAAAACGAATATAGATAAAACCAACAATAATGGAATGCATTGGAAATACCAATGTCCAGCCAGTCCATTCATTACTTTTATCAGTAGTTTATTCTGATATTATATTCAAAACTCTACATACCGCCCACCCAAATGAATATTTGCAAACGTAAAAACAAAAAATCAAACAAAACAAAAAAAGGAAAGGGTAGTTTATGAGTCAGTCAGAGGGAGGGAAAGGAACCAGCTTGTGAACTGGGCACACAAACGTCCCTTGTGCGGTTTTGATCTTGACTGCTCTTACTATTCCGTCACGTCCAGGGAAAGTTTCTTCTATTCGCCCGATTGGCCATTCAAGTGGGCTGGTGTTCTTCATTTGGAGGTATGCTACATCACCAACTTTGACATTGGGTTGAAGGGAAGTCCATTTTCTACGAGGAATCAGGGTTTGAACGTATTCCTGTGACCATCTCTTCCAAAAACACTGAACAGCCTGTTGTAGAAGTTCATATCTTTGTAGTCTGTTCATGGGTGTGTCACTGCAGTCAATTTCAGGTGGAGCTAAGATTGGCGATCCAATAATAAAGTGACCTGGGCTCAAATAGTCGCCATCGTTAGGGTCTGTGATCATCGTTCCGATTGGTCTGCTATTGAGAATAACCTCTATGCGTGTCAACAAAGTGTTCATTTCTTCATAGGTGAGAACAAGTGTGCCCATTACTCGTTGCAAGTGATGTTTGGTGGATTTAACAGCGGCCTCCCATAGTCCACCAAAGTGAGGGGCTGCAGGTGGATTGAAGTTCCATTTGATTTCCTTTTTGGCTAGATGCTGTGATATCTCTGGATTGGATCTTTTTAAAAACTCCTGAATCTCTTTGAAATGATTTGAGGCACCTTGAAAGTTGGTACCACAGTCACTGAAAATCTGCTTACAAAGACCTCGTCTAGCACAGAATCTATCAAGAGCAGCAAGAAATGATTTTGTTGATAGACTTGTAGCAAATTCAAGATGGACGGCTTTTGTGGACATACAAATGAAGATTACCAAATAACCCTTTGATCGTGGAGCTTTTCTCCTATCACTTTCTTTGAATTCAAATGGGCCTGCATAGTCAAGTCCTACATTGAGGAATACCCTGAGGTTTTGAAATCTTGCAGAAGGTAGATCAGCCATTTTGGGTGTCATGGGCTTTGCCTTGAACATGTAACATTTGTTACATTTGAATATTCTTTCTCGTAATAATTGGCGTAATCCACTGATCCAAAATTTTGATTGTATGAGAGATTGGGACAATCGAGGACCACCATGTAAAGATAGTTTATGATAGTGATCACATAACAGAGTTGCTAAGCGAGATGATGTTGGTATTAGGATAGGATGTTTTCTGGAGAATGAAAGTTGGGAGTAACCTTCTTACAGAGTAATCTCCGCCCACCCTGAGATAACCTTCTTCATCGAGAAATGGAGCTAGAGATCGATACTTAGTGGTGCACATTTTCTGTTCCTTTATGTTTTGTATTTCACCTGAGAGATATTGTTCTTGAACATTTTTGACACATAACATTAATGAGTCGTTTAGTTCTTGAGCGGTTATTGGCCCTTGCCTTTTGCTTATTCCTTTCTTTTGACTTTGAAGATTAAAGATAAATCGTAACAAGTAGGCAAGAACGAACTGCACTTTTGACAAGCTAGAAAATTTTTCCATAAGTTTCATTACTATGTTGTTATCGAGACTAGTTGTTAGGAAACATTCTGATTTCAATTCGGGGAGATGAATTTCTTCTGTGGGTTTTACATTTGATGATGGCCATTGGGTTGAGGGTCCATGAAGGAAGGAAGGACCTTTCCACCACAAATCAAAATCAACTATATCTTCAGGAAGCATGCCTCTGCTGGCACAATCACAGGGGTTTTCTTTCGAAGCTACATGACGCCATTGTGTTGGGTTAGTCTCTTCTAAAATGTCAATTACTCTGTTGGCAACAAAAGTTTTCAATTTGTACGGAGGGGTTTTGAGCCATGACAACACAGTAGATGAATCCGAAAACAGTATGATTGTTGATGGGTCAAAATTGAGATGTTTTACTGAAATTACTATTTGCATAAGTAACTGAGCCGCAGAAAGTTCTAGTCGGGGAATACTCATTGTTTTTAATGGTGCAACTTTACTTTTGGCTTTTATGAGGTGTACTCTGATTCCAGCTGAGTTTTCAGTACGGATGTACAAGTTAGCAGCGTAACCCTTTTCAGAAGCGTCACAGAAGCCTATAAGTTGTGTGGAATTTGAGGATGCTGTGGGAATGAATCGTTGGATCTTAATATTTGAAAGTTGTGGGAGAGTAGAAATGAACAGAGACCATTTACTACTTATTTCATTTGGAAGAGGTTCATCCCAGTTCAAACCAAGAAGCCATAACTTTTGCATCAGATGCTTAACATAGAATGTAACTGGAGTGATCCAACCTAGCACATCGTATATTTTTGATATTTCAGATAGCATTGATCGTTTTGTGAAAACTAGAGGGTTGAGCTTAATCGAGTATGAAAAAGTATCATCAAAGGAGTTGTACTGCAGTCCAAGAATTTTCATTCCAGGATCTTCATCTGAACATAAGACGAGTGGTTGTTCACAGTGATCTTCTGGTACGTTGTCTAGGATAGGTTTGTAATTACTGGACCATTTGCGTAAAGTGAATCCTCCTAAATCTAACAGTTTGATGAGTTCACTCTGTAGCTGCAAAGCTTGTTCTGGTGTGTCAACACTGGTGCATATGTCATCAACAAAGGTCTGATGCAGAATGGCGTTTGAGGCTAGAGGGAATCGCTTTCCTTCATCTTTGACAAGCTGCAACAAAACTCGCTGGGCTAGGAATGCACTTGATGTGACACCATACGTGAGAACGTTGAGTTCATACTCCTCAATAGGTCCGTTTGGTAAGGTTCTGTAAAATATGTGCTGCAAACTCCGTTGCTCAGGAGCTACAACAATCTGTCTATACATCTGCTTAATATCTGAACACACAACAATGGAATGAAGACGAAAGTTTGTTATAATTTCAGTTATATCCTTTTGCAGCTTAGGACCTGGGAACAAATTGTCATTTAATGACTTATCATCATTTTTAGGTTTGAAAGAGGCATTGAAAACTACTCTGAGTTTGGTAGTGCTACTATCTTCTTTCCTTACACAGTGATGAGGGATGACTTACGTAGAGGGGGTAGTCGCAATGCTCATGTGACCTTGAGCAATGTAGTCATTCAAAAAGTCCCTATACTCCTGATACATCGTTGGGGTTTTCTTCAGTCTTGATTCTAAATTTATTAGACGGTGCTTAGCGATTTCTCTTGTGTTAGGTAACGAAATGTTGTCTGATCTTACAGGCAGTGAAACTACGTATCTATTTGTTTCATCACGAAAATGAGTAGTTTGAAAATGATTTTCAGTCTCAATGTCTTCAGGATTGATAGGTTTCTTAGTGTTTACTGACTCTGTTTCCCAAAATCTTTTGATTGATTTATCTACAGACTCACAGCAGGTCAGAAAGTATGAGTTTTCATTTGTAGAAGAAATGCTTGGTACTTTGCCACCAATAATCCATCCAAATATGGTTGCCAAAGCGGAAGGTTGACCTTTGATTATATTGTGTGAGTCCAGAATAATATCATAGTACAAGTCAGATCCTAACAAAAAATCAATGGGTGCACTTTGGTCAAAAGTGGGATCAGCTAGCTTTAAATTAGAAAATTTTGACTGTACAGAG